CTACAGTTAAACATATCAGCGAAGTATTAAAGTTGCTATGTACATGTTAACTACTACCACGCAGGTCGTAAAAGCTGTGGGAATTTTCGCGAGGTTGCGTCATGTCAGTCAGCGATTACCAAGACAATGTATGGAACGTCAGCCAATTCTCATGGCGATAGTGCAAATGCAGTACTTACATACGGAATTGCACTATTTAACTTGAAGTTAGCTCTGCAATTCTTCTGTTTGTTATAAATGTCAAGCCTTCTTTCACCTTATGAGAACCTGTGTTAACTTTCTGGAGTCGTGGTTACCTCAAACTAAGTTTAATCTTTTTTGTCTTCTATCTCATTTGCTCGTCATTCACGGAGACATAGCACAAGTAAAATCCACAAATATGATGATTTTATTATGTATACTCAAGATGCATCTATGGACTGTATTTTAAGAATTTACAGTCGTTCATATAAAATGATCTGATATTTGCCTTATTTATAAGTCTGGCCCTACATTGAAACTGAAGTTATTGATAGGGATATGGAGTGGGTCCCGGTAGTTCGTTGGACAATTTTGCATTGCTTAACACTACAGCTCCATTTTAGAAATTGTTAGTCGAAGCCATTTAATATCTGGACCCAGGAACTGTCCTCAAACATCATATATTCAAGCACTTTACACGGATCTTTGGCTCATTGGATTGAACACCTAGTTTTTGAATCATCCGTCCTGTGTTCCAACGTAGCTCTGCCCACGTCGATCTAAGCAGCTAGGTAGTAAAATAAACCACACTAAATATGATGTACTTTTCACTGCCAAAGTACAAAATGACCTTACAGGACTTATAGAGACCTGTACCTACAGCCACCTCTGATGGTTTATCATTGATAGTTGTCGAAAGTTTGTACTTGGGTAGTTGTGTAATTGCTGCAGGGTGTCACTGATGAGATTTCCAAACATATGTCAAAAGCCAGAGGCATACACTAACTTGGACCACCTTTAGTGCAGTCCTGAGAGTAGCCTGACTGTAAAAGTGTGCATCACATCGGTGCTAGCAGTTTTGCTCTATATGTGTGAAAGGTGGTTTCTCTGGGGTAAGGATGACTTACAATTGCATATCTCAATAACATCGCTAGTATCCAGTAGGAACATGTTAGTAATTCTAAGATGAGGTGGTGCCTAGTTGGTTGCAGTGGTTACCGTCCACTAAGTTAAATCACCATAAGATCACGTCTTTGTTGACTTGAACGTGTTAGAAAAGTCCTAGTAGTTCCCAGTGTTCACTATTGGCATGCTGTGAGATGGGTTAGAAGAAGCTGGAAGCTATTCACTATATGATGTTGTGCTCTGGTATTAGCGTTGTGTTGGAACAGCATCTGTTGATGCCTCATGACTTATCGGGTGCAGCCCTAGAGAATACACAACGCAGTAGTTTGAGATGGTAGCATACACGTTTCAGAATATAAACCAATGGCTATATGATTGCAGCTCCATTGTTTTCTTCATTATCGAACGTAGTGAATACTTTTTTGGCTGCAACTTTTCTGATAACTCATCTGTATTTTGTTTCCATACTTTTAAATTTTCTTTCATTCATATCGCTTTCTTTTCTTAGTGTCCAATTATTTTTATAGTGCATTAGGCAATACTTGGCTACTAACTAGATGTACCAGAGACACTGATAAAAAAAGATGGATAGTAAAATCATCATTGTAAGTTTCTGAGGACAAGCTCCTAAAACGTTGAGCTGAGCCATTAGAAGAACAGTCCCCAAAATCCAACCCGGGCCTGGACTGGAAGGTTATCTCGGTCCTGCAACTCTCCCCAAAGTTGAGAAGGTTATTTCAAACCTTAAAGGTTGCAAAGCAGCAATATCTTGCAGTCTACCACCAGAAGATCTCAAGGATGTAGGCAGAAACTTATTCCCTAGCGTTACTGAGATACTAGGTAGTGTACGGCAAGGTATCCAACTATATATGAAAAGAGTATATTGTATCCTGTTCTATCATGTAGTTGTTTTCGTAAGTAAAAAGGCATAAACACGTTACAGGGCTCTAACATACCGACAAGTGTTAGAATATATAGTCTTCAACAGTGCGGTGAACTCATCTCGAATCCGTTTCAGTGAGGCTCACGAAACTTCGGTGGATAAAGTCGTATCCCACCCGCAGGTCAAGAAATGCGACTGATTTGGGCACTAGTGAGTGTATCTGTGTTCCAATACCTGATTGATGGCAAAGATATTGTCAATACTCCCACGACAAGGTCTCAGACTTATCTGATTTCCTCGGTCTTACTGTTCTCCAGCTTCATCTAGGTGATTAATGACTACATAGCCTACGATCTTAGATACTACTTTCGTCAGACTGATTCCATTATGATTATCACGGGGAGATTTCTCGTCTTTCTTGAAGACTTGGGCAGTCAGCGATTGCGACTTGTCAGGGGGGGATCATATCTGATACTTGTACGCTACTTAACAGTCCTCAATCGCCGTGTTTAAATACTACTGCCACAATACTATCTCGCCCCACTACCTTTCCTTGTTTCAGGTTACCTACGGACTTATCAACTTTTTCAAAAGTTGGCGTGCCTATTTCAGTGTTTCATTCAAGATCAGGCATGATAGCGGACAGCCGAAGACTCTCTGGGGGCCAGTTAAATTGTTCCTCGAAGTGTCCTCCCTTTTCTTCATCTAAATCACCTTGATAAGTCTGAGTAAGTGTTGACTGTTATATCTTGCTTCTGCCTTCGCTGGCCATCATTGATCACGGTTATTGTGTGGACTCTGTCAATCTGCACTTGAGTTTCTTCCGCTTCCCATTGTGCTCGGAGCTTGCAAGAGTGCGTCTACGTGCATCCATTAATTCAGAAGAAGCTGCTTGTGTCCATCGTCCCTTCCTAAGTTTCCTCTGAAAATTAATCGCTTACAGTCCTTGGTGCTGTTTTTACAGCAAACTGGAGATGATGACAGGGTTCTTTAGAGTGAGTGACATTGTCATGTTCAGATAACTATCTTGTCACTTCCTTGTTGAAAGCAACCTTCTTCATGTCATCATCAACCTGCATGTGGAACGGTCTTTTAGCTGTGGCTTTTCCAAGTCCACTTGGGCGGAGGCATACGGTGCTGGAATCAATGCGTAGTCGCTGCCCAAATACGTTCTGCAAAAAGGTGACCATCTTCCACCTACCTTCTTCAACGATAACTAATAGCAATATGATTTACCTGTGTCCATCGTTGAGTTGAGCTTAGTGGATGCCTCGTCAGACAATGTCCCTTTATGCCTGAAGTTCGTAGCAGGTGATCGCCATTATCAGTTTGTTGGGCTGGGATTGCGAAAGTGCCATCTTAGTGTCTTTTTGTCCTGCTTTGCCTACCCCTACTTGTGCATTAAAGCCTCCTGCTAGAGTGTTTTTGGTGGAACTCATTTTTGACTTTGTTCGCGCGGTAGGCTGCAGGTGTTTAGACAAGGATTACAAGAAGACTGCGACAAGTTTGACTGTTCTGTGAACAGCAGTTTTTTTTTGAACTGGGTGCAAAACCGATAGCTTCAAATCTGCAACAACTAACCATTGGATCTCCAAAAACTCGAAGTGTGAATTTTTTAGATTTGGAAGATTGTCCGGGTTGGATCTAGTCAATATCTACGGTTGGTTCCTGTGTGGGTGCATCACAAACGCAGCACGTGCTCATCACCTAAAATATCAGAGTTTTGGCTAGGGAAGCCTGTTGGCTGATATGGTGAAGACAGTGGATACCACAATGTGTAGTTTAGAATGAAGTTTCCGGATCTTGTGGATGCTATTGCGTAAACTCGAATCGTTATCGAGGGCCGCAAAGCTGAAACTATAGATGACTTAGTGCTATTGATCGAGTGATTGAGGAAAAGATTCAAAGGCTAATATGTGCATAGTTGATAACAATCTAAGGGAATTTGAGTGGTGACGGACTTGTGATGGCAGTTGATACTTCCTGGTTATCTACGTTGTGGAAGATTACTTCTGCTTTAAGTACGTCGGAAAGGGATTGTATGCGTAGTGGTCGTGAGTAAGCTCAGAGCCCAAAGGACATCTGCTTGAGACCGGTCACATAGGATCATTTGGCAGTTTTGGGACTTAAGTTTGATTGTCTTTTGTCCAACCGAAGAAACTATGGCACTAGTGAGTCGAAATCTACTAAGCAATCTTGTGCATATTTGTGCAGTAGGGGATGAACCACACCTATTGTGGTAGGGCTATTAATAATACCTAGCTGCCCTAACCTCGGTCAGTGTTTGAACCCGTGACCCGCTGATTAGAAGTCAACTCCGTAAACCAACGAACCACAACTCCACTATACCACCGCTATCGAAATACAAAGGAGTAAGTAAGAGGATGCTTTTTGTCAGTTAACATTTTTATTCTTTCGTTTCCGCGAGCGAGGTAGTATCAGTTTAGGCTGCCGGTTATCTACGAGATACACTTGTCACACCCTACCCATCCAGAAGTACGACTTCACCATCGAACCCCATCACAGCTTATCTATTTACATTATTAAGTACTTTTTGTTTTACTACTATCCAACAAACCTTTGTGATATGCTGGGACTTCAAGGAACAAATGTTTTCACCGGTATAAATCATTGAGTCATTGTGATATGCAAACCGAACTACCACGTCAAGGTAGAAGTTATTGGTCAGGAATGGAATGTTCAAAATAGAGTTTTCTGTATTGTGGATTTCTTGCAAGACATCTTTTAGCGGTGTATATCCTTACCTTGTCAACTAGTTCCTCAGAAGGTTCCCCGTTCTCAAAGTTGACATTTTCACGCTAGCAAAAGCATAATTTATCTGCTTCAGATAGTTCTATTCCTAATCGAAAGGTCAAGATACAGATTTTACCGATGAGTCATAATTACTATTTTGTATTCTCACCTCTTGAGCGATTGATATGTAATGTAATAGGATTAAGTTTATTGCGGTTCACTTCGCTTTGTTTTTTAGTTATCATGTTATAGGCGTTCATTTCTTATCTGTTAATCGATGCATTGGTGTCGCATTGTTCTGGTGCCAGGAATGATAACTAGTCCTTCTAGACTACACGGCCTACTGAAATCATCAGTAAGTTTTTTCTGCATATGAACTTACGGCCGCAATAAAGCTTTTTTGTTGCAGAATGGAATTGGTTAACAACTGTATTATGAATTACCGGCGTTTTAAATCGCATTACGTAACCAATTTGTCCACCCGAGATTTTGTAGAAGTAATAAATCAGAAGGCTAAAATTCATAAATATTTAAAACTACAAGAGCCAGAAGAAGATTCGGAGTATATCAATTGTTTGGAGACACGTGATTCGGGACAAAATCTGAACGTCATCCCAGAAGATGACCATTTGGACTTTGGTGCTCTTAGTGCTGGTTAGTGGTTGATATGAAATAGAATTGCTTTAGTTTTTACGCAATATGTAATACATTTGGAGGAACCAATCTTTAAAATCATTGATTTGCCGGTATTCATTTCGAAAGTTGTGTACTTCATACAAAGTCATCATCATCAATATCAACATAGGACCAGGCATTAATGCGTGACGGTCCGAGTTGCCTCAGCTCATGTCAGTACATCAAATAAAAAGGCAGTGAAGTGGAAGATGAAGAAAATAAAGTGCTAAAAGAGAGAAAGAAAGAATGAGGAAATGGTGAGATTCGGTATAGCGTCGTTAAGATGAGGATAATGTGTGTGTATACATCTGCGTCACTGGCATCGGTTCTGAGGCATATCACCTAGAATCAGTCTCCAATCACTGGTTTCTCTTGTCCTGCGCACCCCATCCACCCAGTCGTTTCACCCCACATGGCTCAAACCAACAGTCAAAGACTTCATACATTGGTTCCATGTTTTAGTCTAGCCACTTCGGGCCTTTTTCCAGCCTGAACCTACTTCGGCCAACATTATGTGACGAGGCATACGTAACATATGTCGGAGCCAACCATCTCAGTCGATGAAGATTTATAACCGTACCAACTGATATACCTCTCCTCCCTAAAACTCTACACCTGACGTCTGCGTTACTCACGTGGCGACACCACGGAATACGGTCTGGTCTATACTACGAAGGCAACGGTGGTCAAACACCTGAAGCCTTCTCATGTCTTCCACCTTCAGTGGCCATGTTTCACAGCCATAGAGTAGAACAGAGCGGGCTGCTGTGCAGGTTCAGTACACGCGACCAGTAATGGACAATCGGATATCACGGCGGCGCCATAGGTGGCGTAAATTGGCGAAAGCCAATCAAGCCTTTTGTATCCGTGCAGAAATCTCATCGGCAACTGATCCACCATGTTAGATCTGATCTCACTTACCAGGTAAGTGAAGTGGTCAACACACTCAACCACTTCACTCTCTATTGTTAGCTGTGGTACCGCTGAAGACCAGTCCTGGAGCAAAAATTTGCATTTGGGTGGTGAAAAACGCGTCCCAAACATTCTCAAATTACCACTCAAAGTGTTCAGAAGACTCTGCATCTTGTCAGCGTCTTCACCTAACAGGACTATGTCATCTGCATATTCTAGATCTAAAGAAAATTCACCTGTGATTGGGTCAACGTCTTTGTAATTAGGTGACGAGAGGGAAACCTCCATAAGAATATCTATGATAAAATTAAATAAGAATGGGGATAGTGGGCATCCTTGACGGACACCACTTGATGAGTATAGCTCCCTGGACAACTCACCATAGGCTCTAACATGCCCACAAGTGTTCGAGTAGAGAGCTTTCAATAAGGTGATGTACTTACTAGGCACGCCTTTCAGTGACAGACACTGCCATAAGACTTCTCGATCAACGGAGTCAAATGCCGCCTTCAGGTCGAGAAATACAGCTATTGTCGGGCGTCTGTAAGCATGCCTATGTTCCAGGACCTGGCGCAGTGTGAATATTTGGTCGATACATCCACGGCCAGGTCTAAAGCCTGCCTGGTTTTCTCGGGCTTGCTGTTCCCGAGCTCCACTCAGGCGTCGGAGAATTATAGAACTTAGGATCTTAGACACTATGTTTGTCAGGCTGATTCCTCTGTGGTTATCACAAGAGGACTTCTCGCCTTTCTTGAAGACTGGGATGATCAGTGATCGTATTTGATTCCCATATACTGGCTAACACTTCCGTTAACCTGACTAAGAGCACTCTACCACCATTCTTGTATACCTCAGCAGGTAGTCCGTCTGGTCCTGCTGCCCTTCCTCGTTTCAGGCTACCTACCGCTTTCTCGACTTCTTGGGGGGCCTGTCTCTATGTCCCATTCAGGGTCCGACTGGATAGCGGGCAACGCAATGGTGGCTGGAGGCCAGTTAAACTGTTCCTCGAAGTGTTCTGCCCATCGTTCCAGTCGTCTCCCCTGCGAGTGAATCGCAGATCCGTCCTTCTCCGCTATAGCCTCACTAACTGTTGTTGACCATTTCCCCCAGTCTCCTTAATAAGTCTAAATAACTGTCTACTGTTACCGATCGCCGCTGCCTTTTCCATCTCTTTAGCCTTTGCTGCCCACCACTGTTCACGATCGTTGCGCAGACTTTTCGTCAGTATATTTTTAAGTTGCGCTCGCTCTTCATTGTACTCAGAGCCTGCAGGGATGCATTCACGTGCATCCATTAGTTTGGAAGAAGCTGCTGATATCCACTGGCTCTTTTTAGCCATTATTTTGGAGTCGGCTACAGTCTCCAGTGCTGCTTTTACAGTAGACTGAAGATGGCACCAAGCTTCTTCTGGATGAGTGACAGTCTTTTGTTCCGATAACTGCCTAGCCAACTTCTCACTGAACACGGCTTTGGTGTTTTCGTTGTCCAGCAGAACTCGTAGTGGTTTTGTTGCCAAATTTTTTCTACGTCCATTGAGACGCAGGCATATACGTGCTCGGACCAACGCATGATCGCTGTCCAAACACGTACTCCAGAAGGAGCGGCAGTCTTCCACCGATCCTCTCCAGCGATGACTAATAGCAATGTGGTCTATCTGTGTCCATCGCTGAGTCGAGCTCGGTGGACGCCAGGTCAGACAGTGCCTTTCTTTATGTCTGAAATTTGTGCTGGCTAAAAATAGGCGGTTATCTGAGCATAGTTGTAATAGGCGATCACCGTTATCTGTACGTTCAGCTGGGATTCCGAAAGTGCCACCTAAGTGCCTTTCTGCCTCACTCAGTCTACCCACCTGTGCGTTGAGGTCACCTGCAACAACCACTACGTCCGAACGTTTGGCTTTCGAGAGGAGGTTAGACAGTTTATGGTAGAACTCGTCCTTCACTTCATCCGAACTACAGTCAGTGGGTGCGTAAGCAGAGATTACAAAGAGACAACGAGCAGTTCAGCCGCATAGCGCAGAGGCGACTATCAACTGGGATCCAGTCTAGTAGTGAGTTTTCTGCCCTGGTGCTTAATGCTATACCTACACCTGCAAGACCACGAGAGCTAGCTATCGAATCTCCAGAAACTCGAAGGGTGAATTTCATAGATTCACCAGATTGGTCAGGAGAGGTCAGGTGAATAACCACACTTGGGTCCTGTATGCGTGTCTCACAAACACAGCACACATCCATGCCTCGAGTTGCTAGAGTCTTTGCTAACGAAGCCTGTTGGCCAATTTGACGGAGGGTGCGGACATTGAAGGCTCCAATATGTAATTTGGAGCGTGGTTTAAGGAGACCAGGATGTTGTTTTGTGGACTCAGATCGTTGTCGAAGGCTGCAGAGGTAGGAGAAATTGAAGATGATGCAGCATCATTAATTAAGAGACGTGAAGGAAGATTAGAAGGTAATGTTGAGGGAGTGGATAGCAGTCTGAGGAAACTTGGGTGCTGGCCGAGTTGTGAGCGCGGTTGACACTTCCCGGCTGCCCACACCGTGGAAGGCTATTTCTTCTTAAGGTACCTGAAAGAGATTTGTGTGACCGCAGAGCCCATCGGACATCTGCTTGAGGCCTGTCACATGTAGCCTTTTGTGTATGATTATTTTGAACTTTTGTTGTTTTGGGGCCGGATGGTCGAAAGGAAAAAACAAATGAACCAACACAGCCGGCCCGGCAGACCGTGGGGTATGGTGGAGTGTGTTATTTTTGGGGTCATCCTTTTCTAACCCCCCTTCCACTGAAAAGGCAGCATCAGCATAGCACTGCTGGTGATCCAAGGGAAACACCTTACTGCTGTCACACCCCATACAGCTATCAGCAGTACGACCTCGCCCTCAAACCCCCATCATAGTGTAGTAATTTAAACCACAACGGTAACTGCTTTTCGTCTAACCACTGTCCAACAGACCTTTCTGGTATGGTAGGACCTCGAGGGAACAAGTGTTCCACCAGCATAGCTCGTTGGGTCATTGTGATATGCAAGTCCGACCACCACGTCAAGGTAGCAGCTACCGGTCGGGACTTCATACAAAGTGCTGAACAGTAGGTACAAATTGGTCTCTTATTCCATGAAGGAAACATAATTTAACGCCGCTTAACGTAATCCAACTAACCGAGCTTATGGTGAAAATGTAACTTAACAATCGAATACCCATGTCAAGATAGCTCCCCAACTGGGGAATCCCAGAGGTGTGCTTTTGAGTATCGAGATAAGAATACTGAGAATAGGTTTTGTTATTTGTACAGTTGCTATACAAAACAACTTGTAATCTAATAATTTTTACCTGGTACACCGCTCTCTTTTATTGATATTTTCGAAATTCATATATTTTAAGGTGTGGTTTTGAGCACGGGAAACCATTGTTTTATAGCTACATAGATATACTGAATGTGGCTGTTCTCACTACACTGTCCATTTACTGCTAAGCCTACAATTCACTACGGTGATTACCAACACACAATAAAGACTTCAAGAAGCTTATCTGACTCATTCTGAACCCTCAGACACTAAATCACTTATTCAAAGTTTCATTATATTGCACCACCCTTTTCTTTCTGAACGAAAGAGTAGAATCGTGAACCCTCATATAACAAGTTTACTTGATTGCATAGTGCATACACTTCTATCAGGCATTACTATACAAGAGTAATAGGAGCATGTATCTACAATCACTCCAATGGGGAGACCACTAGATGTAGTCTAGAGGTTCATGTACTGGATGGTTTTGTGTGTGTGCTAGTAAAGGTGTTACTGTTGAGTTTGTTCACTTCACATCGAAGGCCTGAGTGGTATACTCCAGTCTGAGCCCTATTGAGTGACATCATGACTTTAACCTAACGTACAATGTGTCAGTGAACAAAGTTCTTCTCTATGCCTGTGTAATTTAGTCTCCTCTGGATGGAAATGTCAGATGAATTTGTGTTTGTTCTTCATTTTCTATGAAGGATTCTTTGTATCCGTTTGCTTTGCCATGCGGTGCAACGATGCGTATTTGGGTGTGGTGGATGTCATCACTTTTCGGGTGAATTCTTCATGAAACTCAGGCTTCGGTGGTTTGAATGTGTGAGGAATTTTGTGTCAGCTGCTTTTATACCGTTCACTATTTTCTAACCTTAAAACTGGTTGGACGAAGCGGGAAGATGGTCGGTGTATATTGTTGCACCATGCAAGGAAGGATAGTTGTGTTAAAATATCACTTATTGGTGCCCTAAGTCTTCCTAGTTCGGGTCCGACAGAACATATGAGGCGGGAACTGGAAACAAAATCAGGTATAATTCTTAATCACAGCCAATGGCAATTATGTACTTGTGTCCTAAGTCTGTGGAAGTGAACGTATCTTATGAAACTGATTGTCTGATGGCTCTTTTTTCTTTCCTGTGGTACTTCTTGTTTTAAGCTTCATAGTATTGTCCTATTACGTTGTGTGGTGCATTCTCGGATGCCTATTTTTAAAAATCTAATTTCCACTTAAGATTAATAAATACAACAACGTCATAATCTAAACGAAAAATTTGGCCACTGTAGCGCTGCTCGGAACTTCATCCAGTAAATTATACTGTTTCACTGTGCCGTAGTATCAAATAAACAATCTAATATGGAATTAACCTCATCATCCTTTTATTTCAGAATAATTACGGAAGAAGTGAATTTTGCGGTAAACGCATTTAACATTGTTCCACCTATGGAGTTATGCTTAGAAGTTACTATTCAGTCAACTAATCAATCTCAGCATAGAGCCAGACATTACTGTGTAACGGTTCAAGTTGCCATACCTCATATAAGCACGAGAAGTAACAAAGTAGTAAGATGAAAGATGAAGAGAAAATGAGAAATCGGCAAAAGCTGTAGAAAGCAATAAAAGAGAGGAAGGAGGAATGAGAGAATGCTGAATTCAGTATGGCGATTAAGATGAAGATGAAGTGTGGATGCATCTGAACCACTGACATTGGTTCTGAGCCACATCACTTAAAGTCTCCAACTACTGGTTTCTGTCGTATTATGGACCCCAACCGGCTAGTCTGCATCTCCCTGCATGACTCATGGACTGATACTACCCTTTAGTCTGACCACCCTAAAGCCTAGGCCTACTTCCAGTAGCATTGTACGACAAGCTAGATGGTGACTACGTTTGCATAACACATGTCCCAGAAGTCTCGGTTCATGAAAGTTCATAACCGCATCAACTGAAACCCCCCCGTTCGTAAAACGTGATTTCTGCATTACTAACGTAGTGACAGTCTATTTTATAAACGCAACGGTGGTCAAACAGTTGAGGTTACTCATTACCTGCTATATATATTAGGTGTATGGGAACTTCTTTCAATTAGTTAATTATGATACTCTGGAATATTCACAACACTAACAATCAACTTTACGTGGATGAATAGTAAATTTCAATCAAAGTATAAGGTTTTATTTTCTAAATATTTTCAGTCATGTCATCTTAACGACCAAGTCTATATTTATACATGCATGATATCTATCTAAAGAACAAAATAGTTCTCAACACAACTCAGTTCATCGTCTTAGACTTACAGCTGCCTCAACAGTGAATTACAAGTTTTCATGCAACTCCACACATCAGAATTTTTGGTAGGTAGATAGTTTTACTTAGCCATTACACAAAATAGGTTTGTATCAGCGAAGAAATATTTATTTTCAGCGACTTCATCATCAAGCTGTACAGTCGTATTTATACTCGGTAAAGTGACAGATAGTTGCACTAACAAGAGTTGCTCAGTCAATATGCAAAATATACAATAGGTGGAGGTGGTGGTACTTGTTCAAGTGGAAGAGATAGAAAATGGGTCACTGAATAAGGAGAGACGAATTGCTAACAAGTGGTGAGATGAGGGATAACTGTGCTGTCAGAGAATTGTAAAACGGTGACAATTAAGCTGAAACATGTAAAATAGGTCAATGAGTAAGGAATGAATTGATATTAAAAAGTGAAATATGGGTCAAATGTTGTCAATGAAGTGAAAATTGATGGTGATGATGATGAAAGACAAGTTATACCAAAGTGAACTGAAATTGACACAATGAACAAGATGAATTGTTAAGGCCAAGGTAGAGAAGGTGGTTTCACAAAAGGTTTTGAATGCAAGGTTTCGGTTTTTGTTTATGTATAGCTAATGCTTCAGCTGTGCATAAGTGGTGGGAACGTAAACCTTTGAGGTAGTTGAATTTAACTTTGTAAATTATTTTAAAGGATGAATGTCGAGGTGCTGAGTGACCTAATTCAACAAGGTGTTCACATATGGATGAAGTCGTTTTCCTTTGCTCGCCTCTGGTAAGCCGAATTGGGTAATGTCCAGCAACAGGTTTTCGGAGGGCCCGCTTACAACGTCGAATATAGTCAGCTCCACAGTAGCATATGAACTTGTAGATACACATAGATGTGGATATGAGTGGAATCTCCTATCCTTCACGCATTGTCGAACCAGACGGTGGCTGGAGAATATCAATCTGAGTCTAGTAGCATAGAAGCTACTATTGATACATCTTGACCGACGGTTTTTCAGCACATCGGCTGTGGTGTCTCGTTTGAATTCTGGATTCATGGTTAAGATTTTTTCAGGGATTGTAATGGGATGGGGTGTGGTTCGTTTCTTCAGATTCTTATCAATAAATCTTTTAGGGTATGTGTTGCTAGATAGTATTATTCTTAGAGTTTCGATTTCAGCATGCACCTTACGTTCTGAAGATATTGCATAGATTGTGGGACACAGTGAGTGAATGAGATTTCTCTTATAAGTAAGAGGTAGGCAACTATTAAAGTTAGTGGGGTAGGTGGTCTGTCGAGGTTGGTTTTCGATAGACTGACGTTTGAATCGACCATCATGCCTTCTGTTTAACATTACGTCTCTAAAGTGCAAGGATGAGTTTTACTCTTCTTCTATAGTGAATTTAATGATAATGAAGTGATTGGAAAGAAATATTTCTTCGCTGATACATTCCTTGTTCTTGGTAAAAGATAGGTTTGGCCTAGAACCATATATGCCAACATATGCTTACTTGTGTGTTAATCTTCCTGATGTGTATTTTGGTCACTGCGTTAACTTTATTTTTTCTAAATTTTCCGGTATAAAAAAAATGGCTATCTTCTTTACCCAAGCATTAGATGCCATATGTTACATGTTTTTTGGAACTTATCAACAAAACAGTCATGAAAAACTGATATTCTCTGTGTAGTGTTAACTCGTGTCATTCTCTATTGAAGTCAGAGAGACTTCACCATCAATCTATGCTATTCAAGTTATGCTATGATTTTAGTAATTTATTAATTAGGTATGAAATAGTTCATTCATAATTATTATAATCATATAGTTAATATTCTGCAAAATGAAGTTCAACTATGTTAGGATGAAAAGTTTTCTATTCAATATTTTTATTACTTTTTAGACACCTTAAATTATCAACCATGTCATGAGTCACTTATTTCACGGTCGATTGATGATGATAGATTGAAAAAGAAATCTGTTATAGATGAACTTTTAACTGCTGAACCTGAAGATGATCCTGGTGATCGTCTAAGATTAAGTGAAGTTGATCGTCGTCATCCTCCTGAATATTATTCTGCACAGATAATACGTTTGTGTAAAGCAGGTGATACAAATGCAGCATTATCAGTGAGTTTGTTTACTTTACTTTACCTTAGTGATGTTTTTCATGACAATGACTATGGTTTATTTACTTATTTTTTTGAAATTAATTAAACCATTATCAAGTAGCAACCTTTGTTACTCAAACAATTTACATGAGTTATACAAGATAGTATCACAATCTTCTTTGTGTTTTTTCGGTTGTAGTGAATACAACACATTCCTGATAGACGAGCCGCTTATGTTATGTGAGCCATAGTCAACAGCTTACACAGAGGAAACTGTAAACTGTCATCAGTTGAGTTGTTAGTTCTCATTAAGTTACATCAAAGAGTGTTATTGGTTGGTGTTATCTTCAATTTGGCTTGAACATTTAGGTTTTTACTATCCAGTTTGACAGTGTTTTTTGTTCTTGAACACCTGAAGAAGTTGGTTATTAAACCCTTAGAAATTCAAACAGTTGTAGAGTTTCAAAAGTGTCCCCGAAATGATAGGAATCAGTGGTTGAGGAGTCTTTGTGATATGGCGGAAAATTGGCCACAGTGGTTCAGATGTATTCACCCTTATATTCATATCTTCTAAGGCTTGAGTATTCGTACTAACCTTTATCCTCAGATTGTTTATTCTCTTACACTACTTTATCTGTTTCGATATCACTTTTTCTATCCACTTGTTCTTTGTATACTACTGTGAAGTGCGGCAACTTAAGCCGATGAACCCTTGTTTGAGGTTCTACATTGATTTTGCCAATCAGTACATGTTGTTGTGGGGGGGGGGGTTAACTCAATATTTTATCTACAAGTCATGACTACTAGTTAGCGTGACGACTAGTGTTCTCTGAAGAACAACCAGTCCCATGTTGTCTAGTCAGTCCTTAGTGCTGATCAAATTCTATTGATCATTTTGTAATGTAGCAACCATCAAGCTAGTAGGCTCATCATCGTGGTACACTCTGATGGATGTTTATTGGCTTGGAGGCAATCAACAGGGATTCTTGTCAATTGCCTTCAGCCAACAAACTTTTGCATCTATTGCGGGTTAACTTTACTAGTGTGTGCAGTATTAGTACTTAAGGGTTTCTTATTAGGTCAGATTTCACAGTTTTTATAGTGTTTGTTACTCACAGTAATCCTTTATTGTCGGCAGAGAAAATTCTTCATTGTCGAAAGAATCCTGTAAGTAGAAAGGAGAGTGTATTGTGAACTATTGGATTATTCCTTTGATGAATGTAAAGATCACATCACTTGCAATATTAGTTAGGTGAAAAAAGAATTCCGTTTGGGCCCCTCTGTAGCCAACGGCATTTCTTCTTTGAATATAACAGACGCAATTGCCTATTTATTTTCTTTTTTACGTATTAATAATCAGTACCTTTTGTCGAATTCTTCAACGGACATTCACCATTAAAATCCCTTGATTTCATTCAGTGTTAACCGAGTCATAACTTTAGTGCCAAGCTTACCCCAGTTTTAATATAAGTGTAAAACTTGGGCACTGCGGTAGAAATTAACGCCTTACTAGATTTGTTTATTTGATAATGTTTCGAAAATTGCTATGGCCGCTAACGATGCATGGATATCGACTGTCAGCCGTCAACATTCAACAAATTCCTAATTAATTCCTGGCCGGACGAATTAATGGAGAAGATACGATGGACGTGTAGTAACGTGTATTGGGATCAAAACAGTGAAGGCAATAATAAAGGAAAATATATTTAACATATAGATTGTGCTCATTAGTGACATGCTTGTAGATGGATATCATGAAATTCTAATGAGAAGCCGTGACCTGCAGGGTCACCCAGTAGGAAGGGAAGCGGATGCCAACTGGAGGCTTTCGGTGATAGTGGCGCTATATCATGAATTGAAAGGAGTTTGAAACTGTGAACCATTGAACTCTGACCTAATGGTTAAATGGTTAACGCGTCTGCCTGAGTTCTATCCCTATGGGTAGGGATTCGGGTGTGTACTGCTGAGGAAGTCCCGTAGTGGAACAAAACAGCTGTCCAATGCTCCCAGATTTTCAATGGTTCCCCAACTGATGTCAGTCAGTGATGAATGCTACCTCTAATATATAAATAGTTCGCTTTTAAAAATAATACTGTTGGTTGGCTGATTCACCATCTGTCTGTCGAACTGTCGAAATGATAACATAAAATACATTTCTATTGGGCCCCTCTCCAGACTAGTCTTTTTTCTTTATTCCCATATCAAGAATAACATTTTAACATGATTTTTCTGAATGAACGGTTCATGTTTGATCAGTCGTAGCCTCAGCTATATTGGTCAGAGCAACTAGTAAATACAGGGCATCATATAGATGCTGATCAATCTTTCAATGTCGTACATCATGTAGCTCTCTAACGCTTTCCCAACATAGCTGAGGCTTTCATAAGAAGACTGATCAAACGTCAACTTTGTATTCTTGAAGAAAATATGCATGGGTTTCGGCTCCTTTGACCTTCAGTATACTAAAGATCACTTCTGTCTGTGTTATTCATTGTCTTTTGTCTCACCATCACATCATTCATCTGGACCGCTGGCGGCCAAATTTTCATCTCACCTTCATTCATCACCCAGTAGAAATAAAATTGTATGCCAGGCTATGGTTATCTCAGATAATCAAAATGATAATGGAAATTATTATTGGTAATACTATTATTTTTAACCAAACTTTCCTCCCGTCTTATTATAAAGCTTTAGAATTCCTGTTAGAATTCATTTTTTTTCACATTATTATTACTCTCATATATTAACCATCTGTTATGATGACATATCCACTCCATTTCTGCCCTTAGGTATACTCACGTCATTCTCTCTGCTAATCACTGACTCATTCACTCACTCGACACAGTGTGCAACCTGGAACTTTAGTATTGATTTACCTGATTTACATTCAACTTATTGCCGCAAGTGACATACATATATAAATTACACTACAATCTACAAACTTAAAGAATCAAATTTTATAACTATTTATTGATATACTTGTAATTCTCTGTTGTTATACTGGATCGAATTGTTCGACTTCTAAACTGGGTTCTTCTACTAGCCATAACTAAGTAGACAGAAGTGGAACATTTCGATCAAGTATAACAAAAGAGAATTGAAGGTATATCAACAATTAGTGATAACTGATACCCATTGTCTACGAGGTGGCTATGGTGCTTCAATGATCTAGCGGAAAACGTTTTGGCGTTTGAAGCGATGGTTACGAGGTTCAAGTCCCAGCGGGAACAACATCACTCCGCACTGTGGTACGGGTACATCTAACTGATGAATCTGAAATAAGAAGAAACATGCGTCCTGGATTCCTCTGCTAGCCACAATCGAATAAATTACCATAATCAGATCTTAATTAAAATTCTATACCCATTCATAAATGGATTCGCTGTAAAATTCTGGCTATTAATTGATGTTATAATTGTAGAACCTGATGAGAAGTTATTGTAAAGGATATTCTTCGTTCATAATTGACTTTTAGCATTCTAGTATTGATGAATTTCAAAAGAAAAAGTCGGTTTCTTCACAGTCCTTAAGTCTCAGGTTATATTGAAAATGTATACACTGGTAAATCGGCTTGTATTCACTCTGTATTTTATAACTGTAGAACCTGATGAGAACCTATCGAAGAGAATAATCTTCCATATTAGATTTGTTTATTTGATTTATAACATACAGAGTGGTCTAGTATTATTTACTTGATGACGTTTCGAGCATAAATTATTACTGCTGATAAACATATCAATGTAACCACACCCCATTCATCCATCCAAATCAACATAGGACCAGGCATTATTGCGTAACGGTCCGAGTTGCCACACCTTATATCAGCACATCAAGTAAAAAGGCAGTGAAGTGGAAGGTGAAGAAAAGAAAATTCAGTCAAAAGAAATATAAAGTACTAAAAGAGAGAAAGGAAGAATGAGGAAATGGTGAGATTCGGTATAGCGTCGTTAAGATGAGGATAATGTGTGTGTATACATCTGCGTCACTGGCATCGGTTCTGAGGCATATCACCTAGAATCAGTCTCCAATCACTGGTTTCTCTTGTCCTGCGCACCCCATCCACCCAGTCGTTTCACCCCACATGGCTCAAACCAACAGTCAAAGACTTCATACATTGGTTCCCTGTTTTAGCGTGGCCACCTCGTGCCTTTGTCCAACCTGGACCTACTATGACCAACGTTGTGTGACGGGGGTTATCACACTACTTTCGTTATTTGATTTTAACGGTCCTGTTATCTCATATTGTTTGTTTTCATTGGTAGTAAAGTTTTCCATACCTCTGGTATAGGTGTTGCATCATTGTTCCTATTACATGTATCGGGTGTTGGTTGATTCGATGAACAAAGATTCAGTAATCGGTCACTCTCTATCTCTCTACACCTAATTATGTTGGACTTGAGTACAATGGTTCTATCCCACACTATTGTGTGGTTGTGTACTCATATATACATTGCAATAATCGAGTGTTGTTCTAGATTGTTGATCTTATTTGGGTCCGTCTTTTTATATTAAGGGAAATTCGTATGTTCGGCTATTCTAGCTGACCCCGACCGACTGGTTTCACTTATGCACTTGACCTCACAATCATTACATAGAATTTAATAGATTAGATTATTTCGCTTATTTGGTTCTATCGGATCCTTAAGGTAGCCGACAAATCTTATCTCTGAGTGAGTTTGTAAGTTTAAATGCCACTCTAATTCTAGCCTTGTTGAGGATCCTACGTAAAGTTTCTGATATTCCTTCTTTCTGCTCGTGTTTTCGCTATTATTCGTATCCGTACTACTGTTATTATTTTGTTTCTTATATGTCCATACGAATTTATACTTAATTTGTAGACGATAGTTACTAGTTATCAACGCTTCCTTTATGTATTTCAATTCCTTGTTCAGGTCCTTACGTTGACTAGTCAGTTTTCTAGCTCTGTTATTTAGACATCTGACTAAACCCACCTTAACTGACATTGGATGAGATCTGAAGTCTAGATATCTGTTAGAATGCATCGGTTTCCTGTAAAGGGCAGTATCGTAACCACCGTCTGCTCTTCTTTTTATCCTACAATCCATCATAGGTAATTCTACTTGTTCATTTTCTACCTCATAATTGAATTGGATTGCGTCCACTACTGAGCTTATAAATGTGAGGAAACTGTCGATATGTTCCCATTCCAACGCAGCAAATGTATCATTCAAATATCGTCACCATATTTTAGGCGCAGGATGGTTAGGCCATTTTTTCCTAACTATTCATAGATATGTCTCCTGCGAATGGGGATATTGGTGATCCCATTGCTACTTCTTCTGTTTGTCTATATATTTTATCCTGAAACTTGAAGACTGTGAATGTCAGGCACAACTTACCCCAGTATCCCAGTTAGTGTTATGACTGACAAAGTATGTCAGTATTGCAAGTGTAGGTTGTTGGAAAAATCCTTTGCGTATTTCGAAAATTCATCTATTTTATGGTGATACTTAATGACTTGTGGTATCGAACTATCTGTAATATGACAGTAAAACTTGGGGAGTGTGATACAATTTAATTTCATTTTAATTGATTTATTGGATATATCACATAGTGAAACAGTAAAATTGGATTGCATGCATGAAAGATATTGTTTTAGGACCAAGAAATTATATTCCTCTTCGCAAATAATGGTGATAACACGAGTAGAAAGGAGTTCAAAGCCTCTACTATGTCATAATATAAGGAAAGAACATCAGAAATTTTACGTAGGATCCTCAACAAGACTGGAACTAGGTGTGGGGTTTGAACCTACAAACTTCAATTGAGCAAAGTAATTTAATCTACCAGATTCCATGTAATGACTGTGAAGTTAAGTACATAGGTAAAACCAGCCGGTCTGGATCAGTTAGATTAGTGGAATGTGAGAATTTAGCTTAATATAGAATGACAGATGTCAATTAGATGAATAATATCGAAAAGCAGTCGGCTACTTCAAGGCATTGATTAACACACAGCCACACGATAGGATTGATACGATAAAACCACCACACTCAAGTCCAATATAATTAGGTCGAGAAAACGAGAGATGGAGAGATTAATTACTGGGTCTTTGTTCATTGAATCAGCCAACACCCAACCCAAGTAATAGGAATGATGCAACACCTATACGATACCAATGAAAGCAAAGAATATGAGGTGAAAGGTGATTACATTGTTGTGACTATGGTGAATAATTTATGCTCAACACGTCATGAAGTAAATGAAGAGTACTATATCACTGGGTGTTATACATGAAGTAAACAAATCTAACATGGAATAATGTTTGATCACAGTGCTCAAGTTTGACACTTACATTCTCTACACATTCTTTTTACATAACTATTTTGCTAAAAATATGAATTTTTCTTTATCAGATTTAATATATTTTCTGTTTAGGTATTTTTCTCTCAAATGTTAGAAAGAGATCGTGTTTTACCGTCAAGATTTCATGCACACATGTTGTTGGATGGTTTAGCCAAAGTTGGTGATAGTGAAAATGCATTTCGTGTATATAAAAAGATGACTGACTTGGGGATCATTGCAACTCAAGCAACGTATTCACGTTTGTTCCGGTTAGTTTATAATCCTTTTATCGACAAATGTTTGTAATTATATATCGATTGGAAAGTTTGTTTAGTAACACATTTTCTCCACCTGATAAGACTGTTTCTGTCAAATCTCATTAGCTTTAATTGTGTAATGAGTTATGCGCTGTTAGTTAGTCAAATTTGGTCACTAGACACTTCAAGTGATATGAGTCACTTACAGTTACAGTGATTTGATTGTGGGCTTCATCTCCATCTTGAAAATGGGATTGTTATTACATAGATTCTTCCCTTTTTCTTCCTTGTTTTTCTAATGACCTCTGATGTAACTGTTTCGTTTTGTTGACTTTTCATTGTTCTGATTTGAGGCAGGACAACTCAACCCAATAAGCATTTACAGTGGATAGTTTGTTATCGGTACCTATCTCTCTCTTCAAGGGGTGAAGAACAAGGAAAAAAATGGCTGTGAAATAAAACGAAGCGTTGTAAAATACTACTACTCACAACTACTGATAAATTATTTTCAGTTACTCCTTGAATGTCTTATCGTCAAGGTCTTCTGAAAAAATCCTTCAAGTACACTTAGATTTTCGCCAGCATCATCAATAGTTTGGATTGACAATAGATACACACCATTCCTTCCCATATTATCTTCTTCTAAAGCTGGATTGGAGATAAGGATGAGAGGTTCCGGGACTCCTTCTGGTATATCTGTTCAACTGTAGGGTATCGAACCATATTACCCTCTTACATTTGATTTTTGGTCAGAATGGAATAAAATCGAAATGATGTGTTCATTAAGAGTTCAGTAAGATAAATATCAAAGTGTTTGTTATTTTAACTGTTTTCCTACCATATCGTTTGGTTTTACACCAATGACTACCCTTTTCTTGTATATACCACCTTAGTACATTTAAAAACTAAGCATGCACTGGATATTAACAGTAAAGAGGTACTGAGTGATGATTGAAGGTGAAATGAAAATTTGTACCGGGGCGGGATTCGAACCAGTGACTACAGGGTTTTTGGCCCGGTACTCTATCAACCTTCAGTCATCACCCACTGGTCTGCCGACCCATGGTTATCTTAGATAGTCAAAATGATAAGTAAAGGGATAGTCAAATGGCATTTAGTCTTTATTTGGATTACCTCATCTCTCTCGGATATGATTTTATTGTATTTGTTTCTTGTCTCCTTGCACGTTGTCATCGTGTTAATGACTACGTTGTGTGTTATTGATACCAATCCGCTGCGTTAACAAATGATAAAAATATAAAATAACTCATAAACTGTAGGACTAAAATGTACGAGGGACCGATGAGTTTAAACTAGACGACCTTACCAATTAGTTAGTCCACAATGCGAGTCCTTGAAACTAGCTGCACACTGAATCCTGCGAACTTGTAGATTTTTCGAAACTTTATGATTAGATGCATTTAAGTTATCGAGCATTTTTCAGGTTGAATTATCAGGATATAGTAGTACTTTCCAACGCCACCCCCGCATTGGTTTCATGATCCTGCCTTTTACTTTGGTTTTAATGAAATCCTGGACGTTGACAACTGTGACTAGGATGTTTGTTGGGTAGTAGCCATCATGCCAAAAGTTTAGAGTGGTAAATCTGGAGGTGTTTGTTTAGGCAGATAGTGGCTGATGTACCCATTACGTAGCTGATTTTTATCTGATCGTTTCGGTTATCACTGTCGAGTGTTGGTTGGTCATTTTGTCCTGGAAAGGTGGTTGTGAATGTCTTATCGGTATATATGCATCTAATACGGTAAATAGTTAGGGAAATTCTCCCTAGTTTTGCAAGCTTCTTTGTTGTCTTGTACAACGGTAGGTATTTTTGAGCAACTGATTTGTGGGTGCACTGAAATCATACAAAGTATCGAAAGGCACTCAGCCATCTTGTGCACATTCATGCAGTAGGCAATGAGACACATCTATTGTGTGAGGGTTAGTGATGATACTATCTGACATGCGCAAAACCTCGCTAGTTGGAGCAGTATTCGAACCCGCGACCCGTTGGTTGAAAGTCTATGAACAACACCTCCACAAAGTAAATAACAATATGATGTATTACGTAATCACCAGTGATCGCATGATATTGTCAAATTTGAATTACGTCAGTTTCTTCATTTACATTTCAATAAGTGTGTACATTATGGTTGTGACTTTTAGTGCTTGTGCTGAGGATATTTCAACATGGTATCGAAGACATAAACACTTTATTCCACCGATTGTTGCAAATCATTCTGGAAGTTCCTTATCCTTGTTACAACGTAAAAAGTAAGCTTATCAATGATAGTTGCTGAATTGAAGTTCTACAATGGGCATAGCTTTTTTATTTTTGTTTGTATCATATTTATAATCTATTTTCCAAATAACGATCATTAGTTAGGATTTTTTTCCCCGGTAAATTACAGATATGTGCATATTAATGGACAAGAATTCTCCTCAAAAAGTGATTATGAAAGGAGTACATTATAGTAGTTTTAATGTAATTACATCGTTTGGAGTACTCTGTTTAAAACACACACGAAGGGATGATATGTAACTGAACTTTGTGTGTGTGTGTGTGTGTGTGTGTGTGTGTGTGTGTGTGTGTGTGTGTGTGTGTGTGTAATGGTCCAAGTTTCCACGTTTCATATCAGCACATCAAGTAACTAGGTAACAAAATGGAAGATGAAGACAGAAAAAAAGAAATCGTTTAAAAGATGTAGCCAGTGGTAAACGAGAGGAGGGAGGAACGAGATGATGAGATTAAGTATACCGGTTAAGATGAGGATAATGTGTGTGTATACATCTGAGCCACTGACGTCGATTCTGAGCTATATCCTATAGAGTCTGCAATAACTGCTGGTTTCTCTAATTCCTTGGATCCCAACCGACTAGTCTGCATCACCCTACATAACTCAAACCAACAATCAACGACTTCATGAGTTGATGCCATGTTTTAGTCCGGCTGCACCGAGCCTTTTGCAGCCTAAACCTGCTTTGGCCAACATCATGCGATGAGACAGACAGTGGCTAGGCGTATGCAGCACAAAGGCAACGGTGGTCAAACGCCTGAAGCCTTCTCACCTTCTACCTTTAGTGCCCATGTTTCACAGCCGTACAGTGGAACGGAGCTGAATGCAGCACAGTACACTCGACGCTTAGTCAACAATCGAATGACGTGGCGACACCACAGATTCCATAAGTTGACGAAAGCCGACCGAGCCTTTTGTATTCATGCAGAGATTTCGTCGGTCACTGACTATCATATCGGGGCTGATCCGGCTTTCCAGGTAAGTAAAGTGTTCAACGCGCTCAATCAACTCACTTTCTATTGTTAGTCGTGGTATTGTCGAAGACCAGTCCTGGAACAAAAATTCGCATTTAAGCGATGAGAAACGCATCCCAAACATTCTCAAATTGCCACTCAAGATGTCTAGATAATTCTATATCTTGTCAGCGTCTTCACCTAACAGGAATATGTCATATGTGTATTTTATTTAGGTCAACCAAAATTTCTCCTGTGTTGTCAGATGACGAGAGGGAGACACTTATTCGAACATCTATGATAGATTGAATAAGAATGGAAAGAGTGGGTATCCTTGACAGATGCCACTTGACGTAAACAACTCACCTGAAATCCCACCATAGACTCTAACGCGCCGACAGGTGTTCGAGTAAATAGCCTTCAATAAGATGGTGTACTTACTCGATACCTCTTTCGCTGAGAGACGTTGCCACAGAACTTCTCGATCGACCAAGTCGAATGCCATCTTCAGGTTGAAAAATACAGCTGTTGTTGGGCGTCGGTAAGCGTGCCTAGCTACCAAGAATTTTTAGTAGATCAGTCAATTTCAAACTTGTAGTTCACTGATATGAGCTCAATCCTTCTGTTTGTGTGTAAAAAGCTTTCCGATTAAACTCACATGACATTGCTTTGGTTAATAGTCATTTCTTCAAGAATGATTGGTTCCATGTCATCACTTCCTTTTTTGTTTAGTAAAATTCTGTCCAAAGGTTAGTCGATCATTTTGTTTGGTTAAAATTAGTATTGGATTCAGGATGTTATGAAAATTTAGTTTCTTGATGAATTAACTAGGTTGAACTGCCAATTATAAGATATTAGAATAGTTCCTTTGACGTGGAACACAGTAAACTAATCTAGCGTAGAGTTGTACTCTATCACAGTTCCCAAGCATTAGTCATCCATTTTGTATCTGTTATGTGTAAACTTTCGATGTGGATACCATGTCTGTTTTAAAACTAGACTTCGTTTCCAGATTACCTATGACCGTCCTTGAAATAACAACCGGTTTTGAAATGTAGGAACGAAGTCAAGTAGAGCTATGCATTAGTAGTTTGAAGGAAATGACTATCGATCATTGGGTCACGAGTTCGATCCCTGCTCCACTTACCGAGATTTGGGCAACCAAATAGTATCACTGGGCTTCACACAACCGCGCGGCTCATTGTCTACTGCACAGATGTGTGCACTAAGTAGATGGGTGCGTTTTATTTTCGGAAAAAAGTCTGCTTAGATTCACTCTGCCTTGGTGCTAGGAAAAATGTTCTTTTTCTTATCCTTGTGTAAATTTCTTTCCAAGAAATTCAGCACCAAACCAAACAAACAACTTCTCAACGATAAGCCAGACACGAGTTACGCCCTAAATAGAAAACACAGGATGTTTCTGAAATACGGTCCTATATTGTCGTTTTGACAATCTGAGATAGCTGTGGTTTGGCAGACTAGTATTTTTACTGGGTGACTATTGAAGGTGAAATGAAGATTTGGACCGCGGCTGGATTCGAACCAGCAACCACTGAATTTCCCACCCGATGTTGTACCAACCGATGTATGTACAAGGTCCGACTGGTGACCAGATTTTTATTCCACTTCAATTACCATGGCTTGTATAATAATAGGCAATATTGAGTGATAAAATGCTTACCTGTAATCGTGATGTATCTGTGGGTTCATCGCTATCAAAGCATTTTACAGAGAGTGGGTCAACAGTAGAAACAGTCACGCTGTGTCCATGCTACCGGAAGGGGAAAATAAAAGATGCGCTTAAGTTCTGACGATAAGGTAAGGATTCATGAAAAACAAATGTTGAAGGTAAAGTAGAAGATCGGGGAATAAGGGAAGAAATTACAACACTATCATGAACTGGGAAGGCTACTAATGTCTATGTGTGGTAAATGGTGAACAAGATATGATTGAAGAGAATGAAGAGTCGAGACTCTGTGTGGGATAGCATTGTAAGGGAACATGAGTTGCACTACTCACTAATAGTAAGTAGTATAAAACTGGAGATATAAAAAGAGGGAATGTGGGGAAACGTCATTGGGTAAACGAGAGCAAGTAAGAAAGGTGTTAACACCTTATTTTTCCTATTTATTTATCTGGTTTCTATTTATTTTGAATGTTTTGAAATTTAATGAATAATCCATTTGGTTCGAACTGCATTAGTGTTTATGCATCCTACCTGCGGAATCATCTGTAGTTTTTAAGAACACTATGCAAACTTTAAAAAAGAAATTAATTCTTCTATACGTTATTATTCCGTTTGAAAAAGCTTTTGATGTGCTACTAAATAGTCATACTACGTTTTGGTAATGATGAAGAAATGAAGAGATCAAAGTTGATCAGCGTAAAGGCAGTAGTATTTTGACCAACTGTCGAATTGGCAGAAGTGGGGAGCTTTGAGCTGTTAGATTTCGATTCATTGACTCAATTAAAATTTGTTCTCTGTGAAACCTAAGAGCCCTGGATTCGATCCCCGATAGTGTTATAGTTATCCACAGCTGAGGAGTCCCTCATCATGACGAAACAACTGTTCTGTGCTCCCAGGTTGTCACTGCTTTTTCAAGTGATGTCGGTTTAAAATCAATCAGTCACAACAAACCTCCGAACTAAAACAGCGAAACTGAGGTTCAACACTTTCTCAGTGCTTTTGTCAGTAAAGTATATGAATAACGGTCAAATTTATTTGAGTCAAGAGGAAAAAGCGAGCGATACGGACCTTAGGAAGCAAGATTATACTATTAATGTATGATACTAGGGTAAATTCAGGTTTTGAGAAAATGAAAATTGGGAAATGCGATTACATTATTGAAAAAAATGCTCAATTTTTTGGCAGATCCATTGATAATTGATTATTTTGATCACATCAATTTTATTCTGTTTTCAGCTTAGCTCTACAGAAAGCATTGACTCCAGACATGCTACCAAGTGATTTTGGTGGACCTGCAGTCAATAAAGTATATTCACTTTGGCGTCGTCTTCGTGAAAAAGGTGTAGAGTTCACAGAAATCACTTACAATGTTCTTATTTTAGCACTTGCTAAAGGTATGCAATCTATTGTTTATAGTGTTTTACCGATTTGAGATTGATAGGTATTAATAATAACTGAAATTTTATGAAAGGAGTAGCATATCTTCATCAATATCAACCTAAGACCAGGCATTGCTACGTAACAGTTTAAGTTACCACCCCTCATATCAGTCTGACCACTTCAAACCCTTTTCCAGCCTAAACTTACTTCAGCTAACACTGCGCGACGTGGCAGACGGTGACTAGATATAGGTTACACCTATCTCAGCTATCTCAGTCAATAAGAGTTCACAACCGCATCAAATGACGTTCCTCCTCTGCCTAAAACTCCCCACCTGACTTCTATGTTGCTTAAGTAGTGACATTACGACACGGCCTATGTCACGAAACAACAGTGGTCGAACACCAGAAACCTTCTTATATCCTCAGCCCTTAATGGCTATGCTTCGCGTCCGTATTGTAGAACAAAGCGAAGTCGGATATCGTAGCGGCGCCATAAATCGCCTAATTTGGAAATAGCCAAGCGAGCCTTTTTTATTCGTATAGAGATTTCGTGATCACTGACACGCCAAGACTGATCAGGCGTCTTAGGTTATACAGTAAAGACCAATCATAGAGCAACAGTATTTAGATGGTGAGAAACGCATCTCAAAGATTCTCAGATAGTATATATAATTTGTCACCACCTGAAGTGCTGTACTCTTCACTTAGCTATTACAATATCTGCTTTCACACACTTTTCATTGTAAAGAAAACGGATTATTATTTAGTTTACCTTCTGCCTGGCAATCTCACATCAACGTAGAACCTTCCCATTGCCAAATGACTGTCTATGCTCCACATCAGCACATAAGGCCGGTAGCCAGCAGGATAACTAAGGTACAAGTCAACAAAGGGTTAGGGTAAATCAAGAAAGTTAATGCGATCCAATGTCATGGAAAGCTATAATGCAGATAATAAGGTGGAAATAGATAAAACGTGTTATCACAATTGAAATGAGTATAATGTATGAAGGCATTTGTGCCAATGTCATTAATTCTGGGTCATCGACTTCTACCTGTTTTGGGGACATTCACTTGGGAACCTGAATTCCTTCACACGACTCGAGCTGTGGTTTCACTGCCTACTGGACAAACCTGCATGTGGTTACCAAGTGCATTTCTATTTTGAATCAACTTTCTCTAACTTCATGGATTATTATCACTTGGCATTTTTTATGAAAATCTCATTTTCATGCTTCGATGAAATACATCTGAAAAAAGAAAATGTAAAGAAATAACGAATTCAGTTTGAAGGTTTGGGGGGATCAATTTGTTGATTTCGTCCTAGCATGGGACAGCATTGCGCACCGATGGTCCCATCAGGGATCGAACCCAGGACCTTCGGGTTCTATGCGGAGCATATTGGCACGGAGTCATCCAATGACACACGTTTTCCTACTTCTTTCAATTTGCAGTAGAGGCGGTTGGTGATATGCTTCATGAGAAAAAATCCCAAAGTTCTAATGAGAAGCCGTGCGGGACAAAACAAGTCGGACATAAGGATAAGTACTTAGTAATGGCGTTGAGTGAAGGTCGTACTGTATCGCAGGTTGAAAGAAGTAGGAAAAGGTGAACCATTAAATCTAACCTAATGTCGGAATTGTCACTTGCTCACCACGGAACCTGGAGCTCCTGGGTTCGACCCCAGGCAGGGTTATAGGTGGGCACTGCTAGGAAGTCACACTGGAACGAAGTAGCTATTAAATGCTCCCAGCTTTTCAATGGTTCTCGAACTGATATCAATCTGTAATGGATGCCAAGTTGAAATAATTAGCCAAAAGGCTCAATCAACATAAGAGTACGACTTGGTCACTTTTATAGCGTATATTTCCCTATTAGATTGTCTAACTTTTTATAGCACACAGTAGTATTTATTAGATGACGTTTCAAGCAGAACCTATTGATTGTATAAGGTGTAGTTTTACTTGTGTAACCCTAACGCTAACAAAGTGAAACTCCTTCTGTGTCGGTCAGATAAATGCAAGACAGTGCGGTCAACTCTGACCCCAAATAACATTCTTTCGAAAAAGGAGGTGAGTTGGGAATAGGAAGAAATGACTAGTCCGGAGAGAGACCAAGCAAAATATACTTTATATTATCACTTCTATAATTAAATAGACAGACGGCGGATCAGCCAGTGAATAAGATTATCTAAAACAGCGAACTATCTATATATTAGCTGTATTTTTCTTTGTTTTGGGTCTTCGGTCTTTCGACTCCAATACACGTCTCTACACGTCCATCATGTCTTCTCCATTAATCAGTCAGGTCGGGAATCAACTAAGAATTTGTTGAACGTTGGTGGCTGACACTTGATATCCTTGCATCGTTAGCTGTCATAGCTCATAGCACTTTTCAAAGCATAACAGAGACTTTAGATGATACAGCTCAGGAACAGTCTGAGTGGCGTGAATGTATCCATACATACATTATCTTCATGTTAATCGAATTCAGGAGTTTCTTATTCCTTCTTGTTATCTTACCACAACTTTCTCCCTTTTTCAACTGTCTTATTCTTTATTTCTTAGTCTTTCATTTTAGTGCTTTGTTGCTTGATATGATATGTAGCAACTTGAACTGTTAAACAGTGATGCTTATTTCTCTGTTGATGGTGATGATCCAAGCTATCACATCCGCTTTGCAGGACTTCAAAGAATGTCTAGAATCTATTTTGTCTGTAGCGAGTATAAAATGTACGTGATTTAGTTGGTGTAACTCTCGCTTCATTCGTATTAACGAAAGCCAGTCGATCATTCATAATTGTGAATTGTATTATTTGATTAGTGAACTTTAGAGTATAACCTGAGATTGGAGATTAGCCTCACCATTAAGTTGATGTTGTCGTTACTTCTTTAGCATTCAGAATATTAACACACAGTTATTAAGATGTTTGATTAGTAGTGATATTTGGGATGCGCGTTTCGTCCTACCTGGGGCTCATCAGCTGGCTCTATATGCACCCCTGTGAATGATGTTCTCACTAAGACTCGAATCCAATGCCCACTGCTTTAGACGTCAAAGCGTTTTACACTAGGCCATTGGGACATGACAGCCACTTCTTGTACAACAGATGTTAGTTGGTATACTGCGTCGAGTTGCTTCACCTCTGTTGTCTCACTAGGTCCTATAGGGATTTTTCGACATTGTTTGATTACAAACAGCCATTATTAAGTTATTACTATTTACTGATATACTTGTAATTCTCCGTTGTTTTTTTGGATCCAATTGTTCGGCCTCTATTGGCATATGGGCTCCTATGCAGATACTTCGATATTCATGAATAAGAACAAGACACGTATCAGCGAAGAAATATTTATTTTCAGCGACTTCATCATCAAGCTGTACAGTCGTATTTATACTCGGTAAAGTGACAGATAGTTGCACTAAGAAGAGTTGCTCAGTCAATATGCAAAATATACAATAGGTGTAGGTGGTGGTACTTGTTCAAGTGGAAGAGATAGAAAATGGGTCACTGTATAAGGAGAGACGAATTGCTAACAAGTGGTGAGATGAGGGATGGATAACTGTGCTGTCAGAGAATTGTAAAACGGTGACAATTAAGCTGAAACATGTGAAATAGGTCAATGAGTAAGGAATGAATTGATATTAAAAAGTGAAATATAGGTCAAATGTTGTCAATGAAGTGAAAATTGATGTGATGATGATGATGATAATGAAAGACAAGTTATACCAAAGGGAACTGAAATTGACACAATGAACAAGATGAATTGTTAAGGCCAAGGTAGAGAAGGTGGTTTCACAAAAGGGTTTTGAATACAAAGTTTCGGATTTTGTTTATGTATAGCTAATGCTTCAGCTGTGCATAAGTGGTGGGAACGTAAACCTTTGAGGTAGTTGAATTTAACTTTGTAAATTATTTTAAAGGATGAATGTCGAGGTGCTGAGTGACCTAATTAAACAAGGTGTTCACATATGGATGAAGTCGTTTTTCTTTGCTCGCCTCTGGTAAGCCGAATTGGGTAATGTCCAGCAACAGGTTTTCGGAGGGCCCGCTTACAACGTCGAATATAGTCAGCTCCACAGTAGCATATGAACTTGTAGATACACATAGATGTGGATATGAGTGGAATCTCCTATCATTCACGCATTGTCGAACCAGACGGTGGCTGGAGAATATCAATCTGAGTCTAGTAGCATAGAAGCTACTATTGATACATCTTGACCGACGGTTTTTCATCACATCGGCTGTGGTGTCTCGTTTGAATTCTGGATTCATGGTTAAGATTTTTTCAGGGATTGTAATGGGATGGGGTGTGGTTCGTTTCTTCAGATTCTTATCAATAAATCTTTTAGGGTATGTGTTGCTAGATAGTATTATTCTTGGAGTTTCGATTTCAGCATGCACCTTACGTTCTGAAGATGTTGCATAGATTGTGGAACACAGTGAGTGAATGAGATTTCTCTTATAAGTAAGAGGTAGGCAACTATTAAAGTTAGTGGGGTAGGTGGTCTGTCGAGGTTGGTTTTCGATAGACTGACGTTTGAATCGACCATCATGCCTTCTGTTTAACGTTACGTCTATAAAGTGGAAGGATGAGTTTTACTCTTCTTCTGTAGTGATTTTAATGGACGGGTGACAATCATTGAAACATCTTGGTAGCACGTCCACTGAACACTTTTCGTCGCAAATAAGAAAAGTGTCTTCGATGTACCGTTTATACAAATATAGTTCCGAAATTATTTCTTTGAGGAACCCGTTATCGAGCTTTGCCGTAAAGTTATCAGCCAGGACAGGGCCTAGTGGAGACCCCACTGCGACCCCGTCCGTCTGATTATAAATTATACCATTGAATCTCAACTGTAGATTAAACATACATCTTAATATTAATTCTTTGAGGTGGCTTGTAGGTAATCCAATGTTAGTATCATTAGAATCAATGTAATCACATAGATAACAAACGGTTTCGACAAGTGGAACATTTGTAAATAAAGAATGAACATCAAATGATGTCATATGCTTACTCGTTACTTTGATATCCTCGATGCAACGAACAAAACCTAATATATCAGGAAGACTATATTTGCATAGATTTGATCTCACCGGTTTAAGCATTTTGCCAGCCCCTTCGCCAATGAGTGATAAGGTGAATTAAGGATATCCAATACTTGGCGAAGAGGAATACCATCTTTATGCACCTTCGGCAGATTATATAAACGGGACATGTTTGAACCAGATGGTCTAAGCTGCTCGTACATATCTGGGATAATTAAAGATTTTTCTTTCAATTTTCTTAAGATTTTCGATATTTGATTTTCAATATCTTCTGTTCAATCCTTCTGATTTCTAGATTTTAGGAATTTATTATCGTGGCTGAAAATTAAGCATAGTTTATCAATATAATCCGATCAATCCAGAAACACGATACCAGATCCTTTGTCTGGGCGTACACATATAATATTCTTTTTGTTTAGTAGCTCTGTCAATTGTACTTTGTGCTCTTTGAATATAATACCTCGTTGTTGACACGGTGTTTTCAAATATTGATAGCAACAATGTAATAATGTGGATTTGAAACGTTCGAAGCTTTCAGTGGATGTCGGTATTAAGTCTCGAGTCTTGCATAAAGTTCACTAGTTTTAGATGAGGCTTGGTTGTAGCGTTTTAAGCGATGCTTACGAGGTTCGGGTCTCATTTAGAACAACATCACTGCGCACTCGGGTGCGGATACATTTAGCTGACGAGTCCCAAATTGGACGAAATGTACATCCTGAATTCCTCTCCTTGCCACAATCAAGTAGATTACCAACCATTATTAAGGTTTATATTTTTCAAAATATTTAGATATCTTCAACTTAATTCACATTTCTTGTTATTGATCTTTTTTTTTCTACCAGCTGGTGATATTCATGGTTGTCTGCGAGCCCTTGATATGATGATGATGACAACTACAACAAAAGCGGGTGGATTTTCTACCCAATCTACAACGAAATCAAATAAACGATTAATTCCTGATCAATATACACTAATCTCTTTGTTGTCAGCTATTGAACCAGCCACTATGAAAAGAAATCTGGTATTATGTCATAATAATAAAGAGTCATCGAAGAGTACATTGAATGAAGATAGTGTCTATCATATTAGTCCATTTCAACTTGCTCTTGTCCTATGGCATGAATTATTACCGTATACACAAAACTCTATACTCCCACATCATTTCACTTTATTAGCTAATATTATGGCACTACAAAATACTTGTTTAGATTCAAATCACTGTGAAGTAGTATTTGTGAATAATGCTCGTGGCAAATTATTTCAAGATATACTCAAGGATTGTCCATCAGATCCTTATAAAGCTATGTATCATCTTCCAACACATCCTTCGTGTACATCAAGTGAGTTAGCCTCACTTATTATTGCTCAAGCTACAAAATCTTCATTGTTAAACAATACTACCATTTCTACTCAGCTGGAAACAATAGATGAATTAACTGTTCAGAAGACATCAGAATTCACTCAATTAGATTGGAATGATACAATGTTAGCCCTTCATAGTACAATAAATCTCTTACTACCTACTGATAAACCAATCGTAGTGAGTTATTCTATCAACCTTATTGTATATTGATGATAGATAATTAGATAATTGTACACAGTGTTTTTACTATAAGGCTATAATACAATTTATTTATTTGTCCCTTAGTTTCCTAATGGAACATAAGGCTTCATTTGCATGTCTCCATTACACTCTGTTCTCTGCAGTCTTTTCATCCTGCCTCCACCACTGCCCACAAGCTTTCATTTCTTCCTCACATGATCTCCATGACACCCTCACTTCCGATACCCAACTCGTCGTTTACTCTTAAGATTTCACTTGAGGGTCTCACCTGACGCGCGATGTCTCCGAATGGCTTTCTTAGTGTATGCCCAATCCATCTCCACTTTCTTCTGCATGCACGTTGGGCGATAGGTTCTTGGTTGGTTCGTTACCACCCAGAGTGAGTACCTCCTTCCTTATTCTTATTATTCTGGCTATCCATCTGATCTTCAGTCTCAGTATCGAGTAAGCGTAGGCGGCAGCTGTTCATGTATGTCTCCAGTTTGTAGAAAATGCTTTTCTCAACGCGCCACCAAGTCTCTCAACCATCACATGGAGGCACTGACTTACTTGACTGACATTAGTGTTGACAATCCTCATCTTCTTCACGCTTTATGCTGAGTGCAGTGAAGTGAAGTGCAGTACAGTACAGTAGATCTCCACACTGACTTCACATTAATGAAGGCCTGTCTTGCTGTCTTTCCCATCCTCATCTGTGCTGCCACTGCCACCTCTAGTTGAAACGATGCTGGCTTGCCTAGGTAGGTGAAAGAGACTACTTCCTTTATGTTCCTCCTATTCATGGTGATCGGTGCCTCTTCTTGTCGTTGTTGTTGCTGCTGCTGATTGGGTATCTTCATCACCTCTGTCTTCTCTACATTCACTTGATCAGATTCAAAGGATCATATGTCTGTAAAGTTGTGTTTATGATTTTAAGCATGAATACTATTGTCCTCAAAAATTCACGAGTGCTTACATTACCTAGTAAGGTTAAAGATTTTATTGTTTTATTGCCATACATATAAAAGTCGTCAAAAGTTCATTTTACACTTTACATTGTAGATATATGGACCAAAAAATCAAAGTCTTACACCATGGCAACGTTTAGCACTCGTTGGTGGATTGCATGGATTTCTTGATATGATTGAGAAGTATTACAAACTGAAACCTGGTCTACCTTTTATGACTTCTTTAGTTCGTTTATTACCACCTGCAAATAAATTAGATGAATATGAGAAAAATTTTGATATTTGGGAAAGTGAGTTTCTAAATTCACTTACAAGATTTAAACTAACTCCTGATACTGGAATATACAATGCACTGATTAATCGAAGAACTTCTGCTGGTGTCAATGCGAATCATTTATTAGCTGATATGACATGTAAAGGATTCATTCCCGATCAGGTTCGTCTTTTGTTTATCTTATGATAAATAAACTCTTGTTTCTCATGTTACTTGAATAGTATGACCTAGTTCTTTCTCTTGGAAATACCTTATCTAGGAGATAGATTAGTTCTGATGGTGTATAAGATCATAATATTTAACCGCATATTTCAAACAATGTTAGATTTAGATCAGTCAAAGATGATCTCTACTTAGTATTTGACTTTATTGTCTCCCTTAGAACACTGTAAGGCGCCAGTGGAAATGTTCTATTTTTATGATTACTTCATAAAACTGACTTTAATGAAAGCGTTTACCCTGAAGATCCTGATTACGAAGGCAGTTAAAATACCAACTCATCTATAACGTTAGATGTAAATGTATGTGACCATCTCAAATGGTTACTGTGTAATATGGCAACGTGTATATAGACTCAATCAATCTTTATCCTTCTCAAGTCATACATCATGATTTATTTCATCATATAATCTCCAAATTCAACCAGAATTTATTCAAGCACGATTGGTCTTCATACATTATACGAAACTCGAATTGAAGTTGAATTTTACTCGACAAGGTATACACGTTCATGCAGTAATTAGTGAGCCATATCTCTTGCGTCTGGGCTAATGATACTCCTAGTAGAGGTGGGTAGCGGAGAGGATTTGAACCCATGAATTAAAAAAGCGCTCCTTGTATGCTGTAGACGATCTTATCCAAATTGTGACTTAATTATCTTTATTTCTCTAAGAAATTCATTATTATACTGCCTATCTTTTTTTTTTTTGTTTAAAAAAAATAGATTACATGGGGATGTCTTGCTCGTGGTTGTGAAACAACGGATTCTATTAAAAAACTTCTACATGCCTTTGAAACTGCTGCAATCACTTCACCAATTTCAATTGATACCAATGGAAATGTTGTACAGACAATAGAAAAAATTCATTCTCCTATTGTTAGACCGAGTTTCACCTTTTTTTCTACTTTATTAACAACTTCTCAATTCAATTGGGATTTGAAAGCATTTGTTGTCGAGTATATGAGACGTCAAGCGTATATAGATGATACATTATCGGGGAAAAAAAAGACAATAGCTAAAGAGAAAACATTGAAACATAAATCGTCTGATCAATTTTATGGATTTTCATTAGATCGACGATTAATAGCTAGTATTGATATAGACATCGCACTTTTTCGAGAACTTTTAGCTAAAGGTATAATTCCGAAAGGTGAGAAGAATCCTCATATGTGCATACTGATGTTATCATTTCTGTGTATTCTTCAGAATTACAACATAATTATGAGTGATGTCTATGAAATGTAGAAGTTAAAATTACATTTAATATATATTATTCGTTGATACTTTGAAAAGGCCTTGGACAGCCTCAACCGAGAAGTAATTTGGCAGTTGCTTCAACACTACAGTGTGCCACAAACCTTTATCAACCACATTCAACAGCTATATGAAGGCGGCACGTGCCGACTGATTGACAATGGAAGGCTCAGTGATGCCTTTGAAGTGAAGAGAGGAGTAAGACAAGGTTGCCGCCTACTATCACCAATCATCTTCCTGATTGTGGTCAACTGGACTCGACTGGATCATGGAAGAAGCTGTGAGGAGCGAGAAGAGGCCCATACGCTGGTCGGACCGATGAAAAGACTCCAGAAGAAGATTTGGATTTCGCCGCCGATGATGATTTATGTGTAATGTCTTGTTGCACAAACTCGAAGATGTACAGGCGAAAACTAACAAGTTGACAGAAGAGGTGAGGTGAGGTAGCGAAACAGGACGGACTTCAGGTGAACGTAGAGAAGACAGAGGTGATGAAGATACCCAATCAGCAGCAGCAACAACAACGACAAGAAGAGGCACCGATCACCATGAATAGGAGGAACATAAAGGAAGTAGTCTCTTTCACCTACCTAGGCAAGCCAGCATCGTTTCAACTAGAGGTGGCAGTGGCAGCACAGATGAGGATGGGAAAGACAGCAAGACAGGCCTTCATTAATGTGAAGTCAGTGTGGAGATCTACTGTACTGTACTGCACTTCACTTCACTGCACTCAGCATAAAGCGTGAAGAAGATGAGGATTGTCAACACTAATGTCAGTCAAGTAAGTCAGTGCCTCCATGTGATGGTTGAGAGACTTGGTGGCGCGTTGAGAAAAGCATTTTCTACAAACTGGAGACATACATGAACAGCTGCCGCCTACGCTTACTCGATACTGAGACTGAAGATCAGATGGATAGCCAGAATAATAAGAATAAGGAAGGAGGTACTCACTCTGGGTGGTAACGAACCAACCAAGAACCTATCGCCCAACATGCATGCAGAAGAAAGTGGAGATGGATTTGACTGAACATAGACTGAGAAAACCATTTTGGGACATGACGCTCCAGGCTCGGCCGTTGAGTGGAATTCAAAGGGGAAATGACGAGTTGGGCGTCAGTAGGTGACATGGGAGAGATCATGTGAGGAAGAAACGAAGGTTCCTGGCGGTCGTGGTGCGAGATTCGAACGACCGCAAAAAAACAGTGAGATGGCGGTGGTCGCTGGTTCGAATCCGGCAGCGGTCCGAGTTTTCATCTCACCTTGAATCATCACCTGATATAAAATACTAGTCTGCCAGACTACGTCTATATCAGACAGTCGAGTGATAAAATAATAATACCAATTATAATAATAGTCGTTTCGTGTATTTATAATAATAATAATTATAATATTAACAATAATAATAATAATAGCTTGATTGCAAACGGTATGTTTGACACAGTATTGAAATTTTAGCGTGTAATGAGTTTACAAATTCACCTCCACTGCAACATTTTCCAACAAAGGCGTAATTGCATCTGAATGATGTTCACAATAACAGCATCACAGGTCACAATGTTAAGGAACCGGCTCGTGTTATTTAAGTTATTGTGTTTGGTGCTAGTGGTTCATTCGACCAGTACTACCATCGTCCGTACGAATTTTTGAAGTGATTGTTGAGGATAATTATTAATTATTGTTGATACCAAGTGGAATTACGTGCGTAGGTATAACGATACTGAGACTTAATCGACACCTCAACAGAATACTGTTGCAACTGACCTCCCTCATCTCTTTCTCCTTTATTGAGCGACGAATATCAGAAGACAAAAGATGGCGTTTGACTATAGGAACTTGTTCTGTAGGAATTTGTCCATTCAGGTTATCATGTCATTACCGGCGTAAATAGTGATTTGAAAACAATTTTTCTGGCTACATTTTTGCCGCTACCTGTCACTTATCATCTACAGTTTACAGTAACAGTAATACAAGTGTCATCGACAACACAAGTAGAAATAAGTTTAAAGCTTTTATTGTTACCCTCATAAATGAACATCAGAAACTTTAAGTAGGATCCTCAACAAGGCTGGAATTAGAATGGGGTTTAAATCTACAAACTTCAATTCGGCAAAATAATCTAATCTACCAGATTTGATTCAATGACTGTGAAGTTAAGTACATAGATCAACCTAACCGATCGGCGTCAGTTAGATTAGTGGAACGTGAGAAATCAGCTAAATATAGAATGACAGATGTCAATTAGATCAATAATATAGAAAAGCAGTCGGCTACTTCAAAGCATTGATTAACACACAGCCACATGATAGGATTGATAGGATAAAACCACCACACTCAAGTCCAATATAATTAGGTCGAGAAAACGAGAGATGGAGAGATTAATTACTGGGTCTTTGTTCATTGAATCAGCCAACACCCAATCCATGTAATAGGAATGATGCAACACCTATACGATACCAATGAAAGCAAAGAATATGAGGTGAAAGGTGATTACATTGTTATGACTATGGTGAATAATTTGTGCTCAACACGTCATGAAGTAAATGAAGAGTACTATATCACTGAGTGTTATACATAAAGTAAACAAATCTAACATGGAATAATGTTTGATCACAGTGCTCACGTTTTACCCTTGTATTAATTTATGGTGGGTGATGATTGAAGGTGAAATAAATTTTTTTATTTCACTAAGAATTTTACGCAGTCAACAGTTGGACCTCGTAGCTCAGTTGGTAAAACACAGGCCTGCAAACCCAGTGGTCGCTGGTTCGAATATGGCCGCGGTCCAAATTTCCATTTTACCTTCAATTATCACCCAGTATCAATGCAAGTCTGCCAAATCACAATTATCTCAGATAGTCAAAATGGTATTTATATTAATTTGTTGATACTTGCAATTCCTTTTGTTGCTATACTGGGTCGAATTGATCGACCAGTGTTGTTGTTGTCTGAATGATCATTTTTATAATTTACTCGTTCGTAGCTAGCAGTAAGATCCAGAACATGTGTTTCGCCTTAGTTAGCACTGATCATGAGAACATCATGACTCACTGGGGTGCAGGTGCATCCAACTGATGAGTGCTTCACAGGACGAAACGCGCGTTCTGGATTTCTCTTCTAGCCACCGCTAAATAAATAATGACACGACATAGCTGAGAGATGGAGACCAATCAAACTTCCCGAGCATATGTTTGTGTATAATATTATTTTTGTATGTTTGTATTATTCACTTGGTTACCAATTTTTTGTACAATGTTAAAAGTTCTATTTTTATCTTATTTTAATGTTTTTTTTTCCATACAGATGGTTCACCTGTGTCAGTAGCGAAAACCGGTGGATTTTTTGTTCCTCCATTTGCGGTGAAATCTTTTTATAGGTTTATAAAACTATACAAATCCTGGTTACAGGAAACTCCTGTAGGGAAGCCACGTTGATGAAATTAACAACAGTCTAGTTCTAATTTGAATTATGTACATAATAATATAGATAAATTCGTTTTCTAGAACAAACCATAGTTTTTACTTCTATTTCGCCTGTTGTGTTCAACTTGTTTTCTATCCAGAACTTCTTAGGATTACCATATTCGTAACTGTAGAATAAATGATGGTGTACTTCTGGTTCAACTGATTAGCATTGTGGTTCACAGACATTTGAATGTTTAGCAGGTTACTAGCTACAGTTAGTTTATGGGAGGGGATACTGAACCGACCACTTTGTTTACAACTCTCTTCATTTACTTCCTCAGAGAGGACAAGGAGAGATTAGGTAAAACCATTCACGTACAGCTAAATACAAGGATTCAGGTGTGCCTTATTTAAGACGCACTTTATGTAAGGAAACAAGTGTTAGAATAGAACTCACTTATCAACTTAGTAAAACTAGAGTAGTCAGTGTTTTAAATATTCCAACCAGCCATTTTATTCAACTATCCTCTTTACCACCATTTTTACGTAATTTGAATTGCTGTAGTTAAAACTATTCGAAATGTTATCCTAGAGTATGCTTTTGTTGCAATTATTACTTGCTGACAGTTTCAAATGGTATCAAAATCGTTTAGAATAAAGTGATTATTATTATTATTACTTTGACCATTTGTGATATCCGTGGTTTGGCAAACTAGCATTTATACTAGGTGGTGAAATGAAAATTTGAACCGCGGTTAAATTCGAACCAGCGGCCATGGGGTTTTCGGGCTCGATGCTTTACCAACTGAGCTACGAGGTGATCGCTGGTTCAAATACGGTTGCGGTTCAAATTTTCATTTCACTTTCAATCATCACTCAGTATTATTATCATTATTATGATTATTAGAGCAAACCTTGAGATAACCTTACATCATGGCATGAGTTAATACTGATGAATGTGATATAAATGTATCTTATCCATCTGTTACATGTTCTTCAATCGGTAAAAGTGTGCTATGCTATTCAAACTGATATTCTTTTTAGCTAATTCTCATTGGTGTTGATGAAATATAAGATTGTGACAGTGTCAGTACTTAGCGGGTCCCACTAATAAGCTATACGTGGACATTCTGCATCACCTATCAAGGTTTCATCAACTGGGCTGTATTATTAACACAATTGATGTGTTGTGTATTTGTGTATACTAACATATGCTTACTTGCTGAGATTTATAGTCATATTAACTGAGAGTAAATATGGTCTCGTGACTATGTTTGGTGATGACTTGCATATGAGTTGACCTCGATAAATGCACCTGGATTAGACAGTGAGCCATATCTATTGTGAGAGGGCTAATGGTACTACTTGTCTGCCGCTCAAACTTCAACAGATACAGCGTTGCTCTAACCCATGACTCATTAGTTGGAAGTCAGCTGCCTAAACCAGTAAGTCATAGGTGCATAAGCAAACACTAGATACATTTGACAACTAATAGTTTGCATAGGATTCATAATTTGAGTAACAATGTCTTTTGTACTGCGCGGTTATTGAAGGCAAACTGAAAATTTGGACCGCGGCCGGATTCGAACCAGCGACCACCGGGTTTCCGGCCCGATGTTTGACTAACGAGGTTGATGTGTGTTAAATTAAATAAAAATGATGTTTGATCACTAATTTATTCTTTACTAACTGAATGAAGCTGTGACTCATTGGTATAGGCGGTTGAGTTTTAACTAATGAGTCCAAATACACCACTCCACCTACGAAGTTTTGGCAACCAGGTAGTATTTGTAGCCATCGCACTATGGTTATGGAGCTCCTTAACCACTGAACGAATGTGAAAAGGGTTGGTAAATGCATTTCAATTTCTCACTGAACATATCAATGCTAAAAAACTGAATTCAATAGTAAGGAGAATAATTTTTCAGATTTTCACGATACAATAAATAAAAATTAGCATAAACCTTCTATCATAATAAATGTATTTCGGAGGATGAATACGTGACTAAAATTTTTGGGACTTATTGGATTTTAATAGTTCGAAACTTGAATGATAACCATCAGCATAGTTTATCTCAGGAAACCAGCTGAGAAACAGAATCCATGTCTCGAGTGTCTTATGTTATTTTTCTATTTCTTCGTATAACTTTCAGACAAAAGTGAAGTAATCTGCTTAGACTCATGAACTACTCACAAAGTACAATGTAACCTACTTAGTCTATGAAAGCTGACTGCTTCATTTATTAGTTTGTTGACAACCTTCAACAGCTAACCATATAATCGATTATTTGGCGGTTTCCGCAGACATTATTCAGTCAGGTATAATCATTAACCTATAACTCCACATCTTCGGTGATCATATTGTATATCTGTGAAATAAAATTAGGTTTATGCAATGCTCAGTTTAGCCATAATCATAAAATATAGCTCTGTTCGTTTTTGTGGAGAAAGTAACTTCTCGAATGTCAAATGTATGCTCTGTAATGACACGTAGTTTGTATACTGTGTATCGATGTGTACAGTAGAGCTGTAGCTCATTGGCATAAGGAGCTGCTTATCAATCACTGGGCTATGAGTTCGATCATCGCTCCAAGTGGCTGTTTGGGTGCAACTAGGTAGCCATCAAGAAGTAGGTGTGACTCACTGTCTACTGTATGAACATGCACAAGATTGCTGAGCGCGTTTCTCTTTCATTTATTCAATCAGTTGCATAATTTTAAGCTAATTGGTGAAATGGGAATGAGTTGTGTATGTCGAGTAGTGTCCGTCAAGGATGTCCACTCTCCCCATTTCTATCAATTTAACTACAGATGTTTTTATGAAAGTCTCTCTCATCATCTGACAACACAGGAGAAATTTTGGTTGACCTAGAATACGCAGATGACATATCCTGTTAGGTGGGGATGCTGACGAGATGCAGAGTCTTCTGAACACTTTAAGTGGCAATTTGAGAATATTTAGGATGCGTTTCTCGCCGTTCAAATGCAAATCGTTGCTCTAGGACTGGTCTTCAACAATGCCTCGGTTAACAATAGAGAGTGAAGTGATTGAGCTCGTTGAACAGTTCACTCATCTGGGAATTCGGAGCAGCCCTAATGCGTTGGTCAATGGTCGACGAAATTTCTGCACGGATACAAAAGGCTCGGTTTACTTTTGCCAATTTACGGCATCTGTGGCGCCACCCTGATATCGGACTGTCTATTATGGTTGAGTGTACTGTGCTGCATTCCGCTCTGTTCTACTCTATGACTGTCAAACAAGACTATTAGAGGCAGAAAACATGATAAGGCTTTAGGTGTAGGCCGTGTTTCATGGTGTCACGACGTGAATAACACAGAAGTCAGACGTAGAGTTTTAGAGAGGAGTGGTAAGACAGTTGATAGTGTTGTGAACGTTCATCGGCTGAGATTGCTGGGTGGGATATATGTTACAAATGTCTAACAACCTTCTGTTTCATCACACAATGTTGGCCGAGATAAGTTCTAGCTGGTAAAAGACTCGGGGTGGTCAGACTAAAACTGTTGACTGTTGGTGATGCAGACTGGTCGGTTGTGGTCCACGGGATAGGAGACTCTGGGTGATGACATGGCACAGAACCGATGCATATATACATTATCCTCATCTTAACTGGTATACTTAATCTCATCATTTCATTCTTCCTTCCCCTCGCTTACTACTTTCTACCTCTATTTCCTTTGATCGAGTTCTCTTTCCTTCATCTTTCATTTTATTGCCTTGTTACTTGATGTGCTGATGTGTGTATGGTTACTTGTACTGTTACACAGTAATGCCCGGTCCTTTGTTGATCTTGATGATGATGGTGAGTAAATACTTAAGGTATACTCTGTCAACAATGTTTAAGTACATTTTGAACTTAACTGTTTTTCATTTAGGCAACTCAATGGAAATCTTTCATATAAAGTTACTATTGTGTGCATGTTTGTTGTAGGCTAAGTTTTCACAGTGTTTGAAATGTGTTTATTTGTACGAGCTATTCATTCATTCACTTCTCCTATATCATCTAATTAATTTTCGTGTTTTTATTTCAGATACTCTTGTATGGCATCTGAACTGGAAGCATATGTTGGTCGTATCCTTTTAAAATTTTTTTTTTTTCAAGTGTTCAATATAATTTAACTGTTTACTAGGATATCAATGCAAAGATTGGATGAATTCTATATAATTTTAATAAAAAGTCATGGGTAGTTAAATCTGTGAACATCAGAGATGTTTCGTCTTAGTATTGGACTCTTCAGCAGTAAGTATTCATGAATCTTCGCCAAGCATCATTGGCTATTAAAAAAGTTCAATGTTGAGAAGTTTAAGTATTATTTTAGTAATAAAAACCATCAATATTTTGCATACTATGAGAACCAGTGTTAAATTTAATGGGCAAATTTCCGAACAGTAAGTAATACCTTCTATTGTTCACTTTTGATAATACAGCACGTGGTTAGTATATATTCAAATTAAGGCAGATAATCATCGGTCAGTAACAACACGGGACCTGGTATTACTACATAACAGTCCAACTTGTCACATCTCATATCAGTACAGGAGTCATCAAAATGAAAAAAAGAAAGAAATGAAGCAACGAAAACAGTAGAAAGTTGTATGCAAAAAGTATAAAAGGCATTAGACAACAAAGAAATTTGATATGATGATTGTGAGAAAGGATGATATGTTGATGTATCGATTTTGGTGGTCATATGAATTCTAACCATAAAGTTTACATTTCTATACATGGTTCAGGCTAAAAATCAGATACCTCTTCATCTTTCCTAACCCAAAGCTACTTTAGTTAACGTTGTTTAACTGTCCAGATGATGATCAGGTATAGCGTAGCATATATCCAAGTCACCTCAGTCGATGAAGGTTTAAAACCTCTTCACAATTGATTTTCGTCTCCTTCCTAAAACTCTGAACTTGACTTCTAGATTACTGACATAAGGCTACGAAGGCGATTGTGGTCAAATACCTGAAGCCCTCTGATATCCTCAACCTGTAATGGTCATTTTTCACATATTTATAGTAGAATAGATGGAACTGCAGTACAGTACACTCGACCCTTAACAAATAATCGGATATCACGGTGGTGCTATAAATAGCGAAAGTTGGTGTAAATCCATTTGTGCAGTGGTTTCGTAGCTTACTAACCCACATGGGTTTATTTGGCTTTCCAAGTAAGTGAAGTAAAAAATAAGCTCGACTCATTATTGGGTGAGATGCCAACGCAAAACGACCCTTGAACGACGATGTTCATTTGTCTGGTAAGAAACACGTCCCAAATGCTTTGCAAAGTACAACTATAGGTGTCAAGAATGCTGTATTTAATCACTCTTTTCACCAAATACGGAGATCTCATCTACTAACTGTAGATCAACCGCGGAGTCTGCTGTAGCAAAGCTAAATCTCGGTAAACTGAGTTAAGGGAATCTTTGACGAAACTGAATAATAATGGAGAGAGTGAATATCACCTAATATACACAACATATATGATAAACAAAATCAATATAGAACCTCGCATAGAGGGTGTATGAGTCCAACTTGCCACAGTTCACAGTGACAGGCAGGTGGGAAAAGAAATAGTGATATTACAGTAGAGGTATATGGGACGAAAGTAAGTCTGAAACTGTTCAAGCATTAGAAGACGTTAAAGAGTGAATGTATCTGCATCATCGTGATCGATTTTCAGAAATGTCACAGTTTTCAACCATTGATTCTTAGTATCGCCCAACACAACAGTGTCGTCTGCGTACTCTACGTCAACCAGGTACTCTTCAAGGAAGTAGTTCAATTCCTATGAAGTCAGATCTTCGTAAGGTTCTGTCCGTAAATACGTCTCTGATGAAGTTAAATTGGAACGGTGACAATGGGTATCCCTGACGAACAGCACTGTTTGTCGTCAGTTCCAGTGCATGACTGCATGAGTTCTAATAGAGAACTTAAATCAGCGTTATATGCTTTCTCCTTGCTCTCTTCACAGTCACACACTGCAACAATACCTCATGATCGAAAGAGTCAAATATCGCCTTCAGGTCGAGAGAAATAGCGAGTGCTGGACACCAGTAATTGTGCCTGTGTTCCAAAACCTGATCGATTCATCGTCATCCAGCTCTGTCTGAAACCTGCCTGGTTTTCTCGAATTTACTTTTCTGGAGCTCCAGTTAGGTGTTGGATAACTGTGGATATTAGGACCTTGAACACAATATTAGGTAAACTAATTCTCATATGATTGTCATAGAAAAATATATCCTTTTTTGTAAAGTAGAATATATAGCCTTCAGAAAAGTAGTCTACTTTATCCGGCATCCGTTTCAGTGACAGACACTTTCATAAGACCTGTCGATTGACGGAGTCAAATCCCATGGTTTCTTTCAGTTATTCAATGTATTTAATCAACTATGGGCATACTTATTTGTGCATATTCATTCCATCGACAGGCTAGAAGTCTGTTATCTCCTTATCTTAAATTTTCCTTATATTAGGCATGGTGAATGTTATAACATCAGATGGACGAACAATTGTGGTGAGTATCTTTTTTGTTTGATACATAGTAACTATCTCAATTTAATATTAATTTGTTGTTAACATCTTCTAATAGTCTACAATAGGTCTGAGTGATTTACTATGTAGTGCACAAATTTGCTATCGGATTGTTTGCATTGTATACTTCAGTGTACGAGTTAAAAAAAAGTTGGTAGAAAATGTTTTATTATGCACTACTACTTAGAATTTTAGTAGTTTAAAATCCTTAATAAGTCATAAAACAAAAGACGTACAATCACATTTAAATATTCTATTCACATAGTAACAGAAAAGGAATATTGGGATACCCACACATTATTTGAAGAAGCTGCTGTTGAAATGAATCTTGAACGTCTAATTTCCTTCATTAATGGAATATACAGACAAAAAATATGGTATAGCTATGGGTTCACCATAGGGCTGCTTACTTGCAGACTTTTTCATGTTAAATCTAGAAAACATACACCGAAGCAGAATGATTAACTGGTTCGAACTTTATAATTGATACCTTGATGATACCTTCATCATCTCTAATAGTACGGATAATCTAGAAGATATTCTGTCTCAACTTAAATGCCACACTTCAATCAGCTTCACATTAGCCTAGGAACGTAATTCTATGATATTCTTTTTAGATGTGCAGCTAAAAAGACGAGACAATGGATTACTTGAAGGATCTATACACAGAAAACCCACATGGAACGGATAACTAACGAATTTTCATAGTTGGGTACCTCTCTGCACCAAACGACATTTAATTCAGTCTGTGCCAATAGGATCCACACTATCCGAAGTCCTAATACTTTGGAAGATGATTGAAAATCAATATCCTGAGCGTTTCATTACTGAGACTATGAAACTGAAAGCAAATAATCATTCCACATCTGCGGCTCAAAGAAGCTTTTTTTCGTAAGCTTACAGTTCGGTGGAGACACATCAGCAGATATATTGAGAAACCGTCTGGCATGCTTATTGAGAAAAACCTTTTATCCTGCCAAACTCAGATTAGCTTTTTCTACCTACCGAATGCTTCAATTATATGTAGAGGATAAGCTAGCCACCTCGATGTATGTTGATCAATTCACTCACTCCTGTAGCGTAAGGTATGTTGGCCGTACTCAGAGTTCGCTTCCAAACGTATATCAACTTGGTTCTACAAAGGAAAAAGGCGAACACTTCACAGCTCTATTATGACTACTCGAAGTAAATGCAGAGAATAATTTCAGTCTCATCTATAAAGTTTGTGCAAATCTCGTTTAAGGTATACGCCTAAAACTTCTTCAAATTGTAGCAGCCATAACAACTAATATTTGAAGGCTAAACTCTGAGTTCAGAAGAAATCTATCCAGTCATTTGAGTTACAATGGACATGACGTATTAGAAGAGTTTTACTTTCAAAAATCTTTTCATTCAGACTTCACATATGGCATTCCTCCATTCCTATAATCCTAGTTTCGCTTTTATTCATCGTGTTACATCATTTAACTTAATAGCCGAATGTTAGTTCGGTCTTGTTAAGTCTTCTTCTCATTACTATTTCAGATATTACGTAATTCTTCTTTCCAATCTCTTGATTTATAATCAAACCTGAACTTGCTTAAAAGTGTTTCATGAAACGTTCCTTTTCTGTTACTACATGTTAATAGTATATTCATGTGCAATTGTACAACTTGAGAAGTGATATCGCCGAACAGACTGACTCTTTGTTTTTATGACTTAAAGTTCTACTCAACTAATAATGCCCTTTGATTCTATTTGTTTATTTTCAAAGGGTACTTTAAAAGGATTCGATAATGTTGTCAATCTTGTCATCAAGGATAGTCATGAAAGAGTTTTCAGTCCAACAGAAGGTGTTGAACAAGTTCCCTTAGGTTTATTTATTATTCGTGGACAGAATGTGTAAGTTTGGTTGTTTTTCTCTTTCTAAAATTCTCGTTTTTTTACTTCTAAAATGTACATTTTATCTGTAACTACATTTTTACTGCATATACAAATAGTTGAGGTTATATGTTTGGCTAATTATATGTATATATATATTTTTTCCTTCAGAGCTGTAGTTGGTGAAATTGATGAAGATTTGGATAGACGAATTGATTTTTCACAACTGCGCGCTGAACCTTTGAATCCTGTTGTACACTAATTGTATTGCATTGCGATAAATTTGTTCAACTTAATAGTGGCGTTAATTATGTTTCTTTTCTTCAGTGTTTAGTCATTTTGGTGATATTGCATCCTGTGAAATGATTGGTTCCATTTTGATGCTTTTATAGCCTTTATAGGCAGCAACAGGATCACCATCAGTAACAACTTCGAAATGGAAGTGTGATAGCTTGTACTGATGAAATGGTGTGTATTTGACTGTGAAATAGTGGAGTATGTTTGTAGCTTAGGTGAGTTATCTTGGTTGTATTGTGTTCTCTGAGCTGGGTTGTTTAATCGTGAAGCTGGAAACCCAAGTGTACAGGAAGCCAACACATACTGACTAAATCCTCAACTACAATAACAACAACCCAACAACACACAAAATCAGTTGCGTGCAGACTCTATTCAAAGAGCGAGAACACGCTGCACTGCAGTGCAACAACTTCACGGGAAACGAAGAAAATGACTTGATGTCCACCCTAAAGAAGAACGGCTACCCATGAAACTTTATCAGATGTCTATCCCGTGCATCATCAACTACAAAGTCATCGACAGAAATCAATAAACGCACCATCCTACCATAATGCATAAAGAATATATCAGAAATCACGACAAGACTACTGAGACCACTTGGTTGAGTTGGTGTGGCTCATTAACCAATAAATTCCCTGCAAACACCATAATGCAGACCAAACGATGCGACAACGAAAGAAGACAAACCGAATATCATTTATAAAACCAACTGCAATAACTGTAGTCAACACTACATTGGACAAAGTGGTCTCCCTTTTCGCCTTGGTCAACATGAGCACCAACGGGCTATTGAACACCACGACATTTCGTCGCTCATTTCAATGCACGTGGATAATTATGGACATGAATTCAATTTCGACAATGTAGAAATTTTGGACAGATGAAACACAAAGAATGTCAGAGAATTCCTAGAAGCTTGGCATTCAGGTCAGTCAGTCAGCAATCAACAGATGTATAGACATAGACGCGATCTATCAACCAGTAAGAAAAATGATAAATGACAGAAAGGTCAGAGATGAAGTAGAGGGACAGCCAACAGGAAAATGTATACAGTCAGTCAATGACACAACAATCAAAGGAAACAACCAATCACAGACCATATCGTCAGAGCAAGCCTCTAAATCACTCACGGAGAGATATTGACAGCTGACTTCATACTGAAGTTAGTGCTGATGATGATGTCGTCTAGAAAGATGATGAAAGCACAACTGAACAACCCAGCTCAGAGAACACAATACAACCAAGTATTTGACTGTGTTGTTACTCACCTTTTCATTTTTGAGCAGCAAGAGCCGAAAAAGCTCTCTAGCTTTCTTTAAATTTCTTATATCTAAAATTCCTACATATTTGACAGTCAAATGAATATCTTAACTTTATTTAGCATAGGACAGATACACAATGTCTGGAATAGTTGGAGATTTTAATGCCTCTCTGGATTTATATGATGTGCGACTTCCTTCTCTAGGAAACTTCAGTGTTATGAGTACTAAGTGTGTTTTTACAAACTTGCAGTGAAAACTACGACATACATAACTCGTGCTATGCTGTTTCAACACTATCAACAGTGATAATTAGAAGACAGAGTTTCAAGCGAATAGGTATTTTCGGAAAATTCTTGTTAGGCTTTATATTTACATTTACAAATTATTCAGTATAGTCATTATATTTCTGAACAATAGTGTTGTTTAGACGTAAAACAGCCGAAAACTAATTTGTGATTCAGGGATCGAAAATCCCGTATCTTGGCGTAGAGCTAACAACAAAGACTAATGATTCATAGAAAGTCCATATGAAATGGGCAACTGGCAAATTTCTACAGCTAGGTACCCATTGGTCGGAAGATAAATCTAATTGTATCCAGCGAAGAAATTTTTCTTTTTCGACGATATCGTTTTCTAAAGCTGTACAATCGTATTTACATATATCATAAACATATAACAGTCCATTATTGGATTCCTTCGGATTTGTCAACTCAGTAATGTCAATATATCCGGTAAGCGAATGATTTCTCTGGACGTAGTTTCGCTCTTCACTAATGTCCCACTCACGGAAACTATCTGTTTTCTATGTGAGTTCATTGAAGATAATAATGTTCAAGTGGGTATCCTAAAGCACTATTTAAAGTAATTGCTTCTAAGATGTACTTTAAATGTGCAGTTCACTCAACAATGATCTATATAGACAAAAGGATGGGGTCGCCACTTGGACCGTTGCTGGCTAACTGCTTTATAGCGAAGCTAGAGAATGGTGTGCTACATTCATCAATTGATAGTTTCTACCTATATAAAAGGTATATGGATGACATATTCATCATAATCGATCAAATACAGATATTGAGACTGTAGTTAAAACGTTCAAGGATTGTCACCCATGATCAGCTTTACATCCGAATTTGAAGAGAACTCGGAATTCCATTTTCTCAATGTTTTATTGAAACGGAGACCAGATGGTTCTCTTCAGCGATCAATTTATAGGAAGCCTACTTGGAATGGACAATATTTGAATTTCCACAGCTGGATGCCTCTCAGTAGAAAGAGGAATCTAATCCATTCCTTATCTTCAAGAATCAATAGAATCTGCGCCAGCGATACTATTGACGAAGAATTAGATAAACTACGGAAGATCCTCATGCAAAATGGATATCCATCCAGATTTATCGATAAAAACTTGAAAGTAAATCAGAATACGGAGCGAGTACTCACAGTTCCTAAGAAGACCTTGTTTATGAACGTTGTTTTCAAAGGCGATACGGCAGCAGAGATCCTGAAGAATCGGCTGTCCAGATCACTGAAGAAGACATTCTCTTCTGCAAGACTGCAGATCAGCTTCTCTAGTCAACGACTCATTCCGGAGTGCGTTAAGGACAAGTTACCACTTTGGGTCACCTCGATGTGTGTCTACAAATTTACTTGCTCCTATGGAGCTAGTTATATAGGCCGCACAAAGCGCACGCTTTCCAAACGTATCTCGGAGCACTATCCTGCATGGTTGTCGAGGTGAGAATGTAGATCAATTAACAGTTCAATTCTTGAACATTTGGTCAACTCTGGACATAAAGCTAGACCAGAATCTTCTTTTAATGTCATTTATCGTGTCAGATGGAATTGTTCAAAAGGAGTACGCCTTCGACAGTTGTGCACAGCAAAGGTACCGGCAATTCATCAATTTAAGCCTGATGTCTGCATGCAAAAGAAGTATGTTCAATCTCTCATCTTACCTTGGTCTTCACATTTCCATTTTTTCGATTTGATTATAATTAATTAGTTTATTATTATCACCTTCATTATGACCCTTGTCTCATTCTTCACCTTCTTTACATCTATCTGTCAAGCGGACACTCAATATTTGCGTTTCTTATCTTCCAACAATTTCCACCTTGTCAAACTCCTTGCCTTATTCGATATTTCTACTGTCTTAGATTATTATGCAACTACTTTATATTCTTGATTCGGTTTCTCCTAGCACTTGGTTAGTGATGTAATTATACTCCATTGTTTTATAATGGACCGTTATATGTTTATGATATATATAAATACGATTTTTTAGCTTAAGAAAATGATATCGTCGAAAAAGAAAATTTTCTTCGCCGGATTATATCTTCTCTATGACTCAATGGGCATCTTTCTTAGTCTAATTATATCCCTTGCTATTCGCATCCGGCCCATTCCCAGCTCAAATGCCATAGATGAGAAAATAAACATTCTTAGAAGAAATTTAGTTGGTTGTGGCTGTTAGAGGAATCCAGGATGCGCGTTTCGTTTACTTGGGACTTGTCATTTGGGTGTACCTGCACCCCACTGAGTGATGTTGTTCACGCTAGGACTCGGACCCCGTACTCATCGCTTCAAACACCAAGGCGTTATCCACTATGTCGCGGAGAAACGATAGCCACTCCTTGTACAGCGAGTAGTAGTTATTACTATTTATTGACATACTTGTTATTCTCCGTTGTTTTATTGGGTCGAATTGTTCGACCTCCTCATTCGGGTAAATAAATTTATTGTTATTATTATTAGTCCTTTGGGTCCTTAATGGAACATAGGGTTTCAGTAGCACGTCTCCATTCCACTCTGTTCTCTGAAATCTTTTGAACCTGGCTCCACGACAGCCCACAAGCTCTCATTTCCCCCTCGCACGATCTCCTCCATGTCACCCTCGGACGTCCAACTCGTCGCTTCCCATGGGGATTCCACTCGAGGGCCTGACGCGTGATGTCCCCAGTTGGCCTTCTTAGTGTATGCTCAATCCATCTCCACTTCCTTCTGCATATTTGTTGGGTAATAGCTTCTTGGTTGGTTTGTTGCCAGAGTTGCTTGTTGCTTATTCTTTCTGGCAATCCATCTGATCTTCAGTAGCGAGCCAGCGTAAGCAGTTGTTGATGAATGTCTGTAGTTTATTGGAAATCCCTTTGGTTACGTGCCAAGTCTCTGAACCATACAGAAGCACTGACTTTGGTGTTGAAAATCCGGATCTTGTTCCACATGCTGAGTGCAGCGCAGTAGATCTCCACACTGGTTTCAGTCTAATGAACACCTGTCTTGCTTTTCCGATCCTGGCTGGCATGGACATCCTCGTCTGTGCCACCTGTAGTTGAAACAGTGCTTCCTAGATAGGTGAAAGAGGCTACTTCCTTTAAGTTTCTCCCGTAGATGGTGATTGGAGTTTGTTGTTGGTGGTGGTGACGGTTGGATATCTTCATCACTTCTGTCTTCTTTACATTCACTTGAAGTCCCGTCTTCCTTCGCTGCCCTGCCTCTTCTGTCAACTTGTTAGTTTTTGCCTGCAGATCTTCAAGTTTATGTGACATTAGGCACAAGTCATCGGCGAAATCCAAGTCTTCTAGGTTCTTTTCCGCAGTCCAGCGTATCCCCCTCTTCTCGCTGCCTACTGTTTGCTGCATGATCCAGTCCACTACAATCAGGAATATCATGGGGGATAGTAGGCAACCTTGTTTCACTCCTGTCT